ACATTAGTAAATCAGTATATATCGGTTAAAGACTCTCCTTTACTAGAGACATAAGTAAATAGATTATACATATCGGTTGAAAGTCCACGTAAGTAAATCAGTTTCGGTTGAAGGCTCTCCCTTTAAAACTCCTTTAACTAGAGACATCGGTATCGGTTATAGGCTCGGTTATAGGCTTTCTTAACTAGAAACATTGCTTGTAGGTTCACCCAATACTAGAGATATAAGAAAATAAGTATCGGTTGCAATCGCCACCGCCTATAAATCGGCATCTGTTGTAGACACATAACATGCATAAGCTAATCAGTATCGGTTTATGATCTTCATTTACGAGAGATATAATTAAATCGTTTACGTCCAGGAGATGATTTAATACCACAGACATAATTACTGTCGGAAATGTACTTAATTTTGATTGTTCCGTCGACAAATAGTCAAAATATTATTATTATTTAATCACAATCAAAAAAATGAAATGGTGATATCCAAAAAAAAAAAAATGTGCAACCCTGATGAACGTTATCCGGAATTAACAATTTTGATTAGAAATGCCAAAACGGCAGCTGGAGAAACCCAAGTCACTTACTTTTTTCCTAGATATAAACAACGATCACAAGTGTTAGGCTTCTATCTACAAGAAAAGTTTGAAATGAATACATTATAGTCATATTAATATGTCTGCGCTATATACTAGTAAACGGAAACATAAAATATATTAGAGAAATTTAGTGATCGTTGTTTTAACGAGCGAGCAGACAGTCCAATCTCTCAACAGATGTTCAAAAATATATGACTTAGTGAATAAAAAAAACACAATTAAAATACCAATGATGTAAAACCCTCAATTGCTAACAATTGTCACATTTACATTGTTCGTACGTTTTTCGTAAAAACAAGCAAAAGCGATCCTCTCATTATAACATGAGCCGCGTCACGACAAAACCAACATAATGGGTTTGCGACCAGCATGGATCCAGACCAGCCTGCGCATCCGCGAGGTCTGATCAGGATCTATGCTATCAGTTTCTCTACTTGTTATAGAGTTTGTAAGCGAACAGCGCGGATGCACAGGCTGGTCTGGATCTATGCTGGTCGCAAACGCACTATGTTGGTTTTGTCGTGACGCGGCTCACATTATTTTCAGTAATAATCAGACTTATTTTCAGTAATAATCATGTCCATTATTACAAGTGGAGATAAAGAAAGGTAACTCTACATGCCTTGCTAAATTACTACGTATTGAATATGCACTAGTATTGTCCCATTAATTAGAATGGGATCACTTTGGTATACTATAAGCTAGCTCCTGGGCGGGATTTGTAACAATAGCGGTTAGGGGCAATTAATTCAAAGACAACGATCATTCGACCACGGAGTCTTTCGTGATATTAAAGCATAATGTGTTTTCACTTGAAATTAATGGTACTATCTTCAGCACCCAGTTTATTAAATTTGATACTTTTGCCTACCAGAACATTATATCTTATACATAATTATCATATCTTCATTGTTAAGCAAGTATTTTAACCTTGACAAATTATTCCTTACTTCAATACATGTGCCTAATAATAACAAACCACCTTTCCAAAAATGAAGTAAAACCCACGATCCCTATGTATTGCAGCAGATACATTATCGCTTCACGTATACATATGTTCACGAAATAATTGTCATTTCATAGTAGTGTAGCAGGAATCGTTAAATTCTTTAACTAGCATAATCTCAATTTAAGTATAATTATATATAAACAAGAAATAAATTTGATATTTTGGTTGAGAAACATGTTATATAAAATCTACTTTTCAATAAAATGTTAGACGCTGAAATGCCTGTGTTTTCATATTTTGAATTGGCAATTTAATCCTAAATGAACCTGGGAAAATAACTAGGACGTGAATTGTGATTACTGAATGCTCGTTTGACCGTCTTATTACAGTAGTATTTTATTTTGTGTGTCTATCACAATGTTTTCTGGTTTATGACTTAGAACAAAACGCTTGCATGACCAAACATATTTTCTATTACAGTAACTGTTATAAGATGCAATGGTTGATTTCGCTTCTACATCTTTATGTCATATATCTTGTAATTACTAATGTATACTATCTTTGTATAATATTACAGTGTAAATAATACTTTCCTCACATCAACAGTAACTTTATATTCTGTTTAGTTTAAGAGTAACGTTATATATAATATTAATATACAATATGGGCGAGTCACTATATCAAAATGAAAGGGAACAGTTTCAAGGTCTAGGTTACAATATAGCATATGAGAGTAATGTTTATATAACTTGACAAAGCACGGTTTTATGGAGCACGTTTATTTCATTTAAAGAAAACATTTCATACACTTAAATTTAGTTATATTCAACATGCGTAACGCCGTAAGTATATTTCACCAAGACCGTCACAATGTATCAAGAATATGTGTATAATATGAAACGTTATATATAAATATATCTACTGGAATACTAGTAGTCATTGAAACTTAGGATATCATATAAATTAATGCACATTTGTCCCTATTGTCTGTCAACTCATAAATGAAGCATTCCTGTCGATGTGGTCAAATGACACAGAGGTTCCACGTTCGTATATTTTTAATAATAACATCTGCAAGTCAATAAGTTTTCAGTTTTGACGGCTTCTACATGTATGCATCATAGTATCTCTATAGGCGCACTCTTCAAAGAAAGTCCTCCTGTATAGTTTTCACAGATGGTTGGAAAGAAAGCAAGGTTTCTGAAATAATAAAATAGAAATACATTAGATCTATATCCGAGTTCTTAAACGAAAAAAAAATACCAGATTTACTTTAATGTAAATTCTCAGCTGACTTCCATGATTTAACTGTTTAAAATGTGCGCAATGCTAAGACCTATCTCTTAGGTATGTCTGTTATGTTAAAACATAGAATATTATTCGAATCTCATTTTTATTACTTTCTGCATATGTGCATTTATACATTTAAGGTCTTTGCAATTTACTGCACGTTTCTATCTGGATAATGGCAAGGGTAGAAATAATTTAAGAATAATTGAAAGGAGTAGATCTAGGCCTAATAATTTTAAACTAGCGTTAGACATGTACATCCATTGATAATTGTAAATTGACATGTTACCTTTACTATCAATTTTGAGTGTCTGTTTAGAGTTCAACTTGGTATTTCTATGATGACTTCTTTTCTATTTGATGCCTGAACACAAAACATCTTCAACATTCGTTCTTCAGACGACATTACATCCGGGTTTCTGATTAAGAAGCAGCTATAATCTCGGGTATTACTCTGCTTTCTCTCAAGTGGTGCGTGCGCACTTCTGACGTTGTCTGTGACGTTAGATTTCGATGAAAAGTACTTGGCTTCATACACTTGAAACATTTCAACAAAAGAAGAAACGGATTCAACCTGAGAACAAAAAAATCTCTAGATCTACAAGGCGGATCTGTCATGACAAAATGTAAACAAATATGTCCTTGAAACTATTTTCACGGATGTATTTACATACTGGTATCGAAGCAGTATCCGTCGGCTAGTAGTATCCGACAATACGGTTATTTTCGTTTACTGCAACTCTTCAAAATTGAAGGTGAGTTTTTTTGAGAACGATATCATTAAAGGAAAACGTTCGACAGAATTTCTTCAATCTAAATTAAACATTTAATATATCGTTCTCACCTTTATATTTTACAAGCAGGTGTGTTTACATTTTTCGCATGAGGGATTTCACGTGCTACTATTGCGCATGCGCAAAGGATAACTCCATTAGGCACAAATTAAGATAAGTTTCCCCCCTTTGCCGGCGAATACAGACGACTTTTCAAAAGTTGCCAATAATCATTCAAAATTCATAATAATCAATAAATATAAGCTAGAACTATGTGTTGTTATCATTTTTAATCAACAGATCTTGAAATAAAAGCGAAAATGACAGAAAACGGGAAACCCGCGGCACAATTTTTCTAACCAAGGGAAGCAACACTGTTTATTATAGTCTAATTACTCTAACAGTAGGTTGTTTCCCGTATAAAAGGCTATTTTTATTTTGGGGCACCTTATGGGGTGTTTAGGAGAATAATTACGAATTAATGAACGCAATTCAGTTACAGTACACTCGTGAAAACTCTGTAGATGTCATATTAAATCTAATGGATTTCTGAATATTTACTATTAAAACCCAAAATAAATCAATATAATTTACCTAAAGAGGTCGTCAAAAAGTCTTATCATAAAATAAAACTCGATACCGATTTATAAACCCTCAAAATAAACGATTAAAAAATGTGACGGAAACTGCTTCTGTAGCGGATCAAATACGGCTAATTTACACACCCCGTTGGAGCCCCTTTTGTGATGCGCATGTCTAATTCAGGAATCCGGTTTTTATTTACAATAACAATGCATGACCTGTATTAAGTCGTATCAAAAGTTTATTTAAATCGGAGACGTTGTTTTTGAGAAATTTTTTATTATCCCCATATTTTTAACGGAAACTGCTTCGATACCAGTAGATCTAGTTGATCCGTGTAACGGTTTTAAATACATCCTGATGAGTTAACTGATTAATCTTTAAAATAAGGTGTCAGGCATGAATTTATGTATTCAACTAAAAAAAGCTGACTATTCGGTACGAAGTTGTTACAATAACGCTCACTAGATCTACTCAGACTACTGTATAGAATAATATCTTTCACGCTATCTATACAAAGACAAACAATTCTCTAATTATAAACAAAAAGATATATAAAAAGTCTACAGAACTTTTTGCTATTTATGCGATATCAAAATAATTTCAAAATGTATTAAATGGATACTGTAGGTCTATATACATTTTCATTGTGCACAGAGTCAGTGGCTACTGTACATATAGTAAAAAGAGAAATCTACTGTACAGTAGAGCTACATTAAAACATTTTCACTGTACATGAGGCTTTACAGTATAAATATTTTAAACAGAAATATAGATGTACAACAAGATAAACAAGTTCACTGCATACCTTTAAAACGGGTATATCGCACTCCCTGCAGTAAGCTTCCATAAGGGTGTGTTGTATCCCTGAGGGAACATTCTGCGAATATACTTCCGGTAGGATACACATCATGACGTCATCAGGTTCTCTGAAATTCAACAATCATGACTACTTAACATTGATTCTCCACTAAACGTGCAAATTAGAAAATAGTCTGTCCCTCGAGTATATTTAGTTGCACTGCAGTTGAAAAATACTTTTTGGGCATTCTATTGCTTCATTACATGGTCATGTATGTAAAGCATTCAAATTAATGACTTAGTCTGTTGGATTTTTACGAGTTTTCTAGGAAATAAAATGTTGAAAAACAGAAAAGAAACATATAAAGATTTACTGTTTTATTTCCTGGAATAAATAGCCTATATGTTGATATCTTTTTGGTTTGCAAAATTTGCATAAAAATAAAATGTAAAGGACTGTATTTAAACATCTGGTAACGTATCTGTTTAGAAAAAGATTTGAATACTGTTTAATATATATAACTAAATCTTCAACAAAACTTTGGTTTAAATAAGTAATATATGGTTAGGCAATATATAACAGCACTGTAACTTAATGAAAAAAACAAACATATTGAAGTATTTTTAAATGAATGCCCGTTAGTTTCTAAATTTTAGTCAGGGTCGTATAAAGATTTTCTGTCTATGGTAGGGATGGACTAATTGGATATAACTCAAAATCTTGGAGGTGCACATATATATATGGATTGATTATTACTAAGTTGGTTTTCTTTAAGCAGTACCATTGTTTCTGATATAATTTTGTTAAATGTAGATAAGCATATACATGTAGGTTTACTCATATCACCAAGTATGAAAAAATCATAGATCGAGATTGTACCAGTATATAAAGAAAAAGTATATAGAAAAAATAAAGACAATTGAACAGCAGATGAACCAAAAAAAAACAACGTAATACGGAAAGTCAATTCACACAACTCACATTAATATAGCTGTTACATATTCTAATAGATGAGTGTCTTTATTTAAATGTTCTTAATAAGTTCAATCTGTTTCTTAAAGTCACGATGTAATTTGACTATTTGAAGCTACACATAAACCAATAAAACCTAAAAAACTGGAGATGATATTGTGTGTTCTGTTTAATATTAAAAGTACTGGTTCAGACATATTATTTATTGGTCAGTTGTTTAAAAAACTTTATGAATATCTATCTACGTGTTCAGGGTTTTTCATAATTTTGTTCATAGTAGAACTGTGAAACAGATACGTTACTATGATTTAATATTCCTTTCCACTTAGCGGAATAAATTTATACTGTTAAGTAAATCCGAGCTACATTGTGTCAATAGATAAGTATGGAACATCAGTATTTTTATTGACCTAAAATGCTTTTATAAGTAAATAATGTATTTGGAATAAACAAGTCTGATTAATAAGTAACATTTTCATCAGCTTCAGTTCACAAGCTATTCATAGACGTAGTTTTTTTTTAAAATGCATATCGATGCATAATATGTTGTAATATATACTGGTGCTATATTGCTGAAAGAATGATAGTAAATTTCCAAATCGTGTATATTCATGCTAATTATTTTTATCTAGTCTCTGAAAGCAATTGGAAAAATGGTAACGTATCTGTTTTTGCACAAATCTCGAATTCTTGGTAACTTAATGTCAGGATATATTACAAGTTTTTTGGTGAAATGTTAAAAGAACCAGTATGTGTTCAATGTTATACATGAGTTAAACCAACAAAAAAAGGTGTTTTGGTAACTATTCGCAAATGTCAATTACTCACTATTACACACAGCCTAATTTGAATGTTTAGTGGAGAATCAATGTTAAGACGTGTGCACAGTAAACGCTTTTTCTAGTAAATGCTATATATATAACAATCTTACAGCTTGCCTGACATGTGACTGTCTATTTATGATACATATAGAACTCTATAAATATCATTTGTTTCTGACAAAAGGAGAAAAAATATAATATGGGTCATAGATCTAGGCCTTCTTGCAAAATTATAATCTTACGTTTCAAGTTGTCGTGCACATTCGACGGCCCCGCACGTGAGTCGATGTTCCAAACAAGAACTAGACAAAACTGCTCGAACTGCTTTACCAATGTCTTTGAGATAATTCCTGAAATTAAAAACGTGGACTGCATGTCTAAAATTATTATCTAACATGCAATGTCAAACATTCAGATTTCACGTGCTAGATATATTTACTGAGAATCCGAGCACTTTTAGCGTTATCGGAGGAAGGATATAATAAACTCCCAACTATGAGGAATATCGGACTTTTAGAACGTCCCGGTACAGGTTAAGCAAGTATACTGGATGCATGTCAAAAATATTGTCATTTTAAAAACCTAAAGGAACGTGTAGAATGATTGCACTCTACAGTATGTGATATCAATCACACAACATGAACAACAACAACAACAACAACAAAACCACAACGAATTTGGTTGCATGTGGATCTTATGAGAACCCGCGTGTTTTTCAATACTGCCACATGTTTATATCAAAATAATTATTTACTCCTGTACCTAGAATAATAGTACTTAGCATACTATGCACCCTGCACTGAACTTTAACACACCGTATTACCGGCGGCAGTGATGGCAGATCACTGCAGTGATGGCAGATATCTGAAAATTACCGATCGATACAGGTAGGTTATAAATTTGGTTGGTTTAATTATATTACACAAATACGGCCCATTTCGTTGCTATAAAACTATTGTCCATTGAATGGAGATACTGTAAGGTAATTTTGGACTCGTTTTTTCCTGTTTTCAGACTATTTTGAGCAGGTTAAAAGTGAAAGCCTTAGAAAAATCCGTGAAAATGTCTGTTTTCTGTTCAAAATATCTCAAGTTTTAAGTAAATGGCAGGATTTCCTGTTATCAATATAGACGTTCATCCATTGGGGTCACGCAAGCCAAATATCTACCACGTGAGTCTTTTCTTGAAAGTTTTACAGACGCTCAATCTTGTCCTGTCGAAGAAAAAATGCTGCCGTTGTAGGCAGATACATATTATAAATGCTGCCGTCGATGGCAGAAATACCATGAAAGTGGCTAACATTCTGACAGAAAATCAAGTTCAATCTTTTATCAATTCCTCTTTTCTTTGCGTCCTTTTAGTCAGAATTGAGACGTTAAACTATCATTTCTAATATTTTCTCAAGATAGAAAAGTTATTAACCCATTACCCCATGAGCATCTTGTGAAAAATGGCTGTTTTCATTGAAAGGTCTCCCGTTACAAGTTCAAGTTGCTATAAAACTATAAAACTGATTCAAAACTAATCAAACTTGGCACAAATGTTGACTGGACCATTGCCTTTGTAACAACATGTTCAGTCTGAAATTTCCTGTTACCATAGCCACTAGGGGTCATCTCAAAATTGCCAAAAATCACTATTTTGCGTTGATTTTTTTTCCATCAAAATTGATTTCAAAGTGCTGCCACTTCTCAATGGATTGAGATAGAGTCAAAGGCTTTTCAGCATTGGTTACACGTTACCTTATGATGATGACCTGGGGCCATTTTTAGCCTCCCACAAGTCCAAAGTTTTCTTGGCGATGAGGGCTCAGCCCCCCTCCAAACCCCCCCCCCCCAAACAGAAGGGGGCACATCCCCCTTCTGGCAACCCCTGATGTATCTTTTGGATGGGGTGGGGGGCCGCGCCGAAAAAGTGGTCAATTTTTTAAACAACATTTATCAAACAAAAACAAGTGTTTGGGGCCTAAATAAGGCATTTTTTCACCATTTGAGAAGCAAAAACGGAGGGGGGGGGGGTGAAAAAGGCGTAGAAAGGCGTATATATCTGGTAATGGGTTAATTAACAGAAAATGATGAAAAAAAAAACGAAATTACCCAAAAACGCGTTTTTCCATGTTAAAACATGGCCTCACATATAATTTTGAAGAAAAATTGCTGTTTTGTAGATTTTTTGATTTTTTTCATTAATGCGGTATGTGCATCGAAAAAAAGCTAATTAGCAACATGCAGTTACAATACAAAAAGTTATGATTTAGTACCACAAAATTTCACTATAAATAGAGAAATGAACATGAAAAACTTCATTTTTCTATATTCATGCATGTGTGTTTGATCTGTTGTGTCTGTCAGTTACATGCATACAATACTATATGTATCTTAAGTTTAGCAGCGCACTCCCTTTTTAAGACATAACGCCAATTGCATATTAATACAGCAAGTAACTTCTGTAAGTGGACATTCATTTGCTAGCATATGACATTATTTTCTCGAGGTAATGATGTTCATCGCTTTATGACAAATAAAGGCTGAAATTTACTTAATCGGCGCAGATTATAAATTATTAAATTGATGTAATAAAGGGGAGACTATTAACCTCGCAACTGGCATCAGTGTATCATAAAACAAGTAATAGAAAGAGCACCGAAACACGAGGCTATCTGATTTGTACGAGGGGGCGTAGCCCCCCGAGTATAAATCAGATTGCCGAGTGTTTTAGTGTTCTTTCTCTTTTGTATCATAGTCAAACATAAAAACACATTCCCTGCTGTCACAATATGAAACCCCGGGAAAAAGTAACCAATGAACGAACATCTGAATATGATATTTCTATCGCTTTCCCTTTCTCTTCCGTCACAATATGTAAACCCCAGCAAAAATGAACCAATCAATGGGCACGCTCTGTAGAGTGCGGGTAACTAATACCCGCACTCCAGTTAACGCACTGTACATGTATATGTATACGATTTAACTCTGACACATTTTCAACAGAAAAGTCCCCAAACTATGATACAATGTATGTTAATGTAAAATGGAAAGATAATATTATTGACAGTTCAAATATTTTCCTATATTATCAAGTTCTTGAAAAACACGACAACGTGGATTCATTTCTTTAAATTTTCATGTTTGTAATAGCGTTGTAGTTTGCCTTTGAATTACATTTACTATGCTAAACTATTAACAACAGTTCTAGCATCACGTGCTCCCTTTTAACTATATATTTTTTCATTCATTTTAGTTGTAACCATGACAAGTAATAGAAAGAGCACCTAAACACGAGGCTATCTGATTTGTACGAGGGGGCGTAGCCCCCGAGTATTAATCAGATTGACGAGTGTTTTGGTGTTCTTTCTCTTTTGTATCATAGTCAAACATAAAAGCAAGTTCCCTGTTTTCACAATATGAAACCCCGGCAAAAATGAACCAATGAACGAACATCTGAATATGACATTTCTGTCGCTTTCCCTTTCTCTGCCGTCACAATATGTAAACCCCAGCAAAAATGAACCAATCAATGGGCATGCTCTGGAGTGCGGGTAACTAATACCCGCACCCCAGTTAACGCACTGTGCATGTATATGTATACGATTTAACCCTGACACATTTTCAACAGAAAGGTCTCCAAACTATGATACAACTTATAAAGATGAACCTTTCGATGATTCATATCACAAGATGAAAATAAATCCTGTATTTATAGGGAAAAAACTAGAATTTTTTGATTTGTTATATTCTTTTTCTCTTTTTTGACCTTTCAATTCATATGAACAGATCAAGCACACATGCATGAATATAGAAAAATGAAGTTTTTCATGTTCATTTTTCTATTTATAGTGAAATTTTGTCGTACTAAATCATCACTTTTTGTATTGTAACTGCATGTTGCTAAAAAGCTTTTTTCCGATGCACACACCGCATTAATAACTTTTCTATCTTTGAGAAAATATTAGAAATGATAGTTTAACGTCTCAATTCCGACTAAAAGGACGCAAAGAAAAGAGGAATTGATAAAAGATTGAACTTGATTTTCTGTCAGAATGTTAGCCACTTTCGTGGTATTTCTGCCATCGACGGCAGCATTTATAATATGTATCTGCCTACAACGGCAGCATTTTTTCTTCGACCGGACAAGATTGAGCGTCTGTAAAACTTTTCAAGAAAAGACTCACGGGGTAGATATTTGGCTTGCGTGACTTCAATGGATGAACGTCTATATTGATAACAGGAAATCCTGCCATTTACTTAAAACTTGAGATATTTTGAACAGAAAACAGACATTTTCACGGATTTTTCCAAGGCTTTTCACTTTTAACCTGCTCAAAATAGTCTTAAAACAGGAAAACACGAGTCCAAAAATACCTTACAGTATCTCCATTCAATGGACAATAGTTTTATAGCAATGATATGGGCCGTATTTGTGTAATATAATTAAACCAACCAAATTTATAACCTACCTGTACCGATCGGTAATTTTCAGATATCTGCCATCACTGCAGTGATCTGCCATCACTGCCGCCGGTAATACGGTGTGTTTAATCGTGTTTTATAATGCAGTCATGACTTGCATAATTCATGCAATGTTGAACTCTTGCGTTTTAAAACGTGATAGTTTACTTTCTACAATTGTGACGCAGAGCTATAAACAATTACTATTTATTATGGTAGATTTAAGAAATTGATACACCCACATATTATTCATGATTTACCCGGGGGTGTATGTTGTACCGCCTATCACAGGTCAAGCGAAAACATAAATGATTTTAGTAAACAACAAAGTTTTCAGCAGATATTGTGCCTTAACTGTGATCGAATGCCTCCAGCATAAAAAACGAATATCTCTGTTTAAAACCCATGTATGAAGAATGCATGCATATTTGTAACCGACATTATAACATTTTAAGGTTTGCATTCGTATATTTGTATGATTGTTTAATTTTGTTGACTTTTGTCCATTTTAAGCGCATATTTTTATGCAATCATGTTCATTGTAATTACATTATCACGTCATTTATATCTATTCAGCATAAAATGCGTTTTCTATGTGACATATTGTACAATACAGTGATGAAACATAGAAATATCGTGTATCGTACACATATATACGTGTGGATATACACAAATATTCTTAAACGTGAAAAAAGAATCCAACTTACTTTGTTAAGTCCATGCAGACATTGTCTTCTATATCCGACAAAGTCATAATTTCAAGTTTTCAAGTTGATTAAGAGAGAAAACGGTAGTCCACTTGTGTTCCTAGGTAATGATGATTGTTAGTAATAAAACAGTCACGTTTGTAGGTTTAATATTACCTGAGCTTATCACGACTTTTAATCGACGTTAAACAGGTCGCTTTACGCACTTCATTCATGTGTGTGCGTAAATTTGCAAATATCAGCGTTCCTATTGGACGTCCGAATTGTCACGGAAATTACCGGAAATAAGCAGACGACAAATGTTTACGTTAAAAAAGGTTTATTGTCAATAGTCTGAATAGAGCAAGCTGCTATTGCAGATCTTGAAAGAATTAACACGTAGTAAATACATACATACACATATATTTAAAACGTCATTATGGTAAGGAATTTTCACAAACACCATGTGCTTAAAGGTGCTTGCTTGTACGAGTTCAAACTTGTTGGCAAGGAAACGCTACAAAGGTGTGTCTTTTTAAAAGCGCTAGCTAGCGTGAAGTTATCTGAAAGAAAGAGCCTGGCTGGTGATGAAACCGCAAGATGGTCTTTGTGTTCATAAACGAGTTAAGTCATGTCATCTTTAAACAGTAAGGCATGGGAGAACAAAGATCACAAACCCTTTGATTTTCTTTTAAACTTTAAATAGAAATTTGCAATACAGTCTCTTTTGCCCTTTTTCACTATTGTATATTTTGGCCATTATGTAATGTATCGAATGATTCATGTTTGAATTTCTTTGTCTGTTACAAGCTAGTATTACTCCCACACAAATGTACAGGTCAACTTTAATAAAACTAAACATCATATGTTACAATGTTGTAACCTCATTACCTTGGACAAGTCAATCCTCAAGATTTCGTTAATTTCTATAAAGTGAGAAAGATTTTTAAATTTTAAAAGCAACAAACACATGCAAAAAAGTAATATTTTAGCATTTACATACATATTATATTATTAAAAACGCTAATTTAAATTTGCAGTGGCTTTTGACCTTTCGGTACCAAATACAAAACCACCGTTATAGATTTTGATAGTGGATTTTTTATCGGTTGTTTTGTTGTAGTAAGCCTTAGAGTGTTGAATTATTTTTTCCAGGGTTGTGGGAAGATAGGGGTGGGGTGTCCAAACACTGATACTGCCACCTGTGGTCTTCTTCAGCACTTTACAAACAAGGGATGTGACGTAACGTCATTGGGCGGTACAATTCTCTGCAAAGTTAAGACATACGTCATTAAATCACACGCAGATGGGAGGGATGACGCTGTGTCCATTTTTCAAACTGCTCGGAAACTCTTAATTTATCCTTTGAAAATATATCTTAAGGCGTTAACAACGTATTGTATGATAAAACATGTCTGATACCTACTACTGTTTGGTTTTAATGACTAAGATTGTCACCTACCATACACAGTATGATACATGAGATTTGTTCGATCATCTAAAGTTGGGTGTTATATTTCTAACATATGATACTGTGATACAGAAAAGTAACAACCACACATGAGGTATGAAATGTGACTGAAATTCAGCATGGTTAAACATTGTCCACACCCTAAACAAAACCATTCTGTCGTGCGAATAAAAAGGTTTTACATGACGTAAGTTACGCGTTCAATGTACTTCCAGGATAACCTATCATAAATCAAGACATAATGGCTGCGTGATACCTCTCACATTAAACTAACAGTTTTCCCGCAAGACTATATGAATTTATATTGTGCACGGATCATTCAGAATATCCTTCCCGCATCACATCGATGTCACTACACCGTGTATTCCATCTCACCACTTATTACTTTTCGCCCATAAGTACTCTATTAAGTCTATAAAATTATGATATGCATATTTTGCACTCTATAATTGGTTTCTAAAACTCTTGGCATATAGTCTGCTTTACGAAAAAAGAGGTTGTAGAATTTTGCATTACGAATAATAAAATTTACGCCGTTATATTAATATACCTCTCAAAAAGACATTCTTGAACCCTGCTATATTATTCTACGATTGTATTGTTATCAGAATTACTTTGGGAGTTATTTTGTAGTGTATATTCATATTCATATTGTGAAAACGTGTGGACAAAGTGGTGCAAAATGTTACATTTTCATCCGCAACTGATGTGGCCAGTTCACTTCCTAGATATTTTGCAAGTGAAACAAAACAATTTTCAATTTTCACGTAGGTACTCATTGGAATATTAACAAGCAATGGGTATAATATCGTGAAACACTGCATTTAGTACGTCTTGGCTAGACATTTCAAACTCCTTACAAACTCATTTCCGCATTTCCCCCCAATGAAAAAGATATTAACCCAAAAGTAGGCATCGCATTGTCGCAATAACTCAGCAGACCTTAATAATAAGTGGTAGTTTTATCAGGATTTTAGCTGAAATAATTCTCAAAAAACTTGTGTTTTCTTGGTCACAGTTGTGCTGCAGAATACTCTAGCTCTCTCTACAACTGGAAGTTGTGCAATAATGTTATACTATCCATGCAGACAGCTAAAGCACCTCTATATGATATACAGATCGTAATGCCAAGCTTGACAACATCTGTCTTATTGTGCAAATACTAGCACCAAAGCTCTTTCGGAGAAGTCATCTAGAGACGTGAATCTGGTGTTCATAAGGCGAGTACATGTACATACGTTGTCGTTCAAGCTAAATTTACAGGTAAGCAACGGTCTTAGCAGAATAGATTAAAAAACCTAATTAAGTAATTCTAGGTAAATTCACCGGCAATTCTGCTGCTTAACCCGAGTATAAACTGACAATACTCTATTCAAAGAACTTCACGTTTTAATATGTAGCAGATATGTAGAACATAACATGTTGTTTGTGTTTTACAATAGTATATCATCATGTCTTACCTTTAAATTAAGATATTATTATTATATTATTATTAAAGAATGAATTGAGAATATGCCGTTTAACTTTAGTGGTACATCAATGTTATATGATATTCAAGTCATCTAATTTAAGATAAAGCAAGAAAAACAACATAACAACTGTTTGTCTTCCTAAAATAGTTTTATTTTCACGATCCTGTATGTACATAAATTGATTCAATTACATGATTACATTTCAACATATCTAAATATCACAAACATGTTTTCTGTTATAATGGTATATAAAATGATATAATGTACTACATGTTGTATGAACAGTATCATGTAATTAACTATACAAATGATAAAATATCATATATAAAAGGACAAATAATACAACAATTTTCAGAGAATGTTCAAGTTCAAAATGTCAAAACTGATTAGTTCTGAATGCTATTATTTATTTCATTTAGTTAAAGTCGTGGGTCCTTTCTGAGTTTAGGCTGCCATATCGATCCCTCCCACTACGTCGGTGTAAATGTCACGGACAAAACATATCTCTTCCTTTATATTTAATTCCGTCCCACTCAGACATTTAATCCGGAACATTTACAGATAGTGACATTCTGTAGCCAGACAATTTATGGCGGAAATCGTTCCCAGCTTCTGAAATATAGAAAATGCCAACTGAATTACAAATAATCTAAATGTAAAGGTCACAATCATGTTTCATTATTAGTTGAACTTTTTCCAATAGTAAACACCGAACGTTTTACCATTTCTGAATGCCATAGTATAAAAAAACTAATTTATTCCGTTTATGTGGGAGCAACAGTTAGAGACTATCGATAAAGAGTAAAACAGTATTTAAAGATATGATACCATAGAAGTGAGCCTGAACGTACCTGTCGAACTGTTTTGTTGATATTCAAGTAGTCAATATAGATATCTCTATCAGAACATCGCCTTTCCTTCTGTCCAGTGTCAGTCTGGTTCTGTGTATGTTCAATTTTCCTCCATCATAATTGTGTTACTGTCTAAAATAGTAAAATTGTTCGCCCATCTATGTCAAGTCTTGCCTTGTCTCTGTCATCACGACCAATAACGCTGTCTGTGCTGAATGGGTTTTAATGTAGCCCTAGAAAACATAAAATATAATATACATTAGTACTATATTTACATTCCTTGTTATAATAATTCTTGAAATATTGCACTCTTTAGGTTCACAGCTAATGAAGAAATTGACCTAATAATAACAATTGATATTAATTGTCTACCTTGCAATAAAATACATGATTGTAACATAAAATAACATTTATTCCTCAGTAAACATATTAGTCTATACCTACCACTGAAAAGCTGTATCCCTGCTCACAAAGCAGTATGAAATGGATTCAGGCAGGTATTTCAACACAACCATGAGGTACCAGCCCTCCCAGAATGAAGTTTTCACAATAGTCACTGACAAATTCATCATCTTTACTGAATATTTCAGGATTCTTGACCAGAATGCAGCTAAAGTCTGTAGAAAAAGATCTCTCTTTTTGTTCTTTAGTGGCAGTTGATGTAAATATTGTTGAAATTTTTGTAGCGCAATCAACCTGTTGAAAAAAGATAACACAATAATTAAAATTTTAATGTAATTGATAGGTGTTATTTTTATCAAAATGAGATATAAATAGCTCTATTCATTAAATAAATTCTTAAATAAAACGCTTGACATTTATACACTATGAATTAATGTTACATCTGATGTATTAATGGGACAGTAACCTGGTTGTTGACAACTTGTTTTTGTACAAGCAATGCATTGATAGGAATAATATGTCACTGAAATATTTTATTATTTCTAAACATATTTATGTTAATGATTATATGTTTACAAAACTAAGTTTCAATTGTAAATATAAAAGTGACCTTGGCAATATTTTTTCCCTTATCTGCATTTCTATGGTCTAATTTAATCAATGCAGATAAGGTATAAAAATAAAGTCCAAATTTCTTTCATACATATATCAAATCAACAAACATATATCTTATAAATTTCAACCCGGAAATCTGATAAGCTATTTTATAATATGTGTTTTTGGTCATGATTATTGGCAATCAGCCTAAAACATGCAAGAAAAAATTATGTTATCTCTAAACTTGAGAAAACATCTTGCTTTTTCGTCATTTTGTGGGAGTGTACTTTCAACAAAAATATAATATATTTTGAAATGTGTGTTCGGTTTACAAATACCGAATATATCTCGATAGTTAATGATCATTGTCAGTAATAAAAGTAGGTCAATCTACTGACCTTCAGAACTTTGACCTCATTTTCCCGACAGAACGCCTCAATGAGAGTGTGTTGTATTCGTAGAGCTGCGTCCTTGACCTTGGTGTCTGGAAGTATCACAACTAGAACCCGCTCTGTATCTCTGTAAATACCAACCATTATGTATAATATATAAAGTAATCACACAATAATAGAAGTAGCAAAATATATTTGGTCTCCGATGGAGTTTGGTCTTTAGTTATATTATATTACTTACATACAAGACCAACTGCATGTTTTAATGAAAGTGGCTCATATGACCAGTTTTATTGCTGTCTCATTTTGATGTTCAACATTAATAAAGAACAAAGATGTGATAGTAAACCTGTTGAGATAACAGGCATTCAGAAACAAAGACAGCTTTTATATATTCTGTTTGAACTCATCACGTGCAGATATATAAACTAGCAGTCAGTGTTGGCAAATTGCCTGATCCGTATGTTACATATTTTCTCAGAATAATAAAACGATATGAAGAAATTTTTCTCGTAGGAACACAACTATCTAGGCTGTAGCCTATCAATCAGCACGTGATACAGTGCACATGTAGTGTTATGTAAAAAGAAACGATCATGCGCTCTCAAAAGTATCATATGACTTAACAACGTATATAACAAGGTCAGGACACTTATGTTTACATATGTATCATATCTTTAACATTATAAATATTACATAAAAAGACACCATTAGAAACCATTCACTTTAAAAGTATAAAATAACATCAGATCAATAAAAATATGAAAAATCTTGTAACTGTATAAATCGACCTACCTTTCTAGAATATCAACACATTCAAAGACACCATAGTTCACTCTGTCCTGCTCCATGGCTTGAACCAGTACATGTTTCACGGCTTTACCTATAGTAGACGGCGGTTTTCTGTAAATAATTAATTGCTGAATTTTTATTTTAAATTAAGAAAGGCAGTACAATAAAACTAGAAGTAACTACCTGGTTTATTTTATTAATTTGAATATTTAGTCCAATCTATTTTCTTCATGAAGACAAGGAAAGAGCGTCTCCAAAATGATAGCTATAGTAAAGCGTGATTTTTTAAAGTATATATTAAATGATGTTTTATAAATACGGAAACGTTTCGCACGTTTAATACGACAGATAAAATAAAAACCCGGATGGTACGATATGAAATGCGGAAACTTAAACGGGAAGATGGAGAAACGGGGAATATCACTGCGGCATAAGGAAAATAACTTCAAACAATACGAAACACGAATAGTTCCTTTGTCTTTCAACCGATTAATTCAGTTATCATATTTGAGTGAATCGACAGACTTGTTAACAGATTTTTCTTAGGTTGATGATATACGTGTTAATTTCAACACATCTATTTATGTATATACACGAGAATTATATTCAGCGATTCGTGCAAAACAGAAGAACGCACAATGACTGCGTATGAATTTATATTCCGGTAAAGGAACGCACAATGACTGCGTATGAATTTATATTCCGGTAAAGCGCACCATATTCAATCATATGCTATTAATAAAGAGAGTTTTCTTTTCTTGTGACTATGCAAACTAATACCAAAATGAACAAAGCTTAATTTTTGTAGAAACAAATATTTGCTATCGTAATAAGTTCCATTAACAAGCTAACCACAAGCATGTTCCGTTTAAAATTCCTTTCTATAAACGGCAGTCAAGAGTGCATGATTAACCTACGCAGACGATGGGGCAAAGCACAATGAGAGGTTGGTTATAGGTCACCTAAGTTGACGATTTAATCGTCTTGCATATTTTACGATCGGGATATGTTTAACAAGGTAATGATTCATCACGAAGATCAAAGCGTATGTAATGAACAACGGTAGTACAGTCTACTTGTGATAATGTAGGGTTTAATTCGTTTAAAGTTCTTTGTTACAACACTCCTATCTTGTTTCGTTATTCCTTCATTGACTCCTCGGATAAGGTCATGACGAGCTACAACTTGTCTGCCAAGTCAATAGACCGTACACCACGTGCTCGTAACTAATCAGCAAAATTCAAACAGCTGTCACATGTTTAAATCGATAAAGAAAATCTCCAACAACATTAAAGTATAGACAAATGCGTTTAAGTCAGACGATTTATACTCTTGTAACACTCCAATTGTAATTCATAAAATATTGTTATGTTATAACTCCAAAATGTTCTTAAATCTGCATCAAAGCCTGGTTCAGCTGGTACATAATTTGGTTTATTTTCTTAAAAGTGCACGATAATCAGATTCCTTAGACAGCCTTCAAGACAGGGTGTGGTTATAGAAATAATATACGTTTGGGTAATGAGTAAGGTATAAAACGACTATGATACTACAGAGCCATGAATTATCAGACTCGTATTACGGACATAATTTCTGACGGCATGGCTTATCAGGTGGTTGCATCATAAAATCTGACATATCTGCATTCAATATGCATCTTTCACAATTCTAGTCCCAAAGTCCCCACCATGAAATGAAATTAATTGCCTGCAAGACGTATTCAAATTTATCTTGCGTAACTGACTTTCAGTACAGGTGGAGCAATGATGCAATATGGTGAACCCTGCATAAACAACACAATATCTGCCACGTTGGAACGAACAAAAGACGATTTTTATACAATATGTTAATGCAATATTTGGTTCAGTAAAGATATAAATGCCTACAATTACTGTAAAATACGAACACGAAAATTAATAATTATTGTATAAATCGTTAAAGATACCAAAGTATTTGCAAACTCTGCACAAAGACAGACAGAGTTTAAAGAAAGGTTAAGATTAAGGGAGCATATTGCAACGTTGTGAAACACTTAAGATGCAAAATTGAAACATAAAGTAAAGAAACTTACGTTTTACTTTCATCCATTTTCAGAATATTTTCTGTATATGTCATAATAACTAAGATATCCAAAGATAAGAACACAATGGCTTTGTTTAAACACTTGCTTTAACCTTATATCGATGCGTCCGCTCTCTTCGCGAGTCTATCAACGTACTACGATCAGCTGGTACAAATACAATATATTTATAGCCAGACCTAGTTTTCCCGGAGCTCCGCTTTTCATTGGTTGTTTCACTCAGCGCTATAGTCATGTGGTTCAATACACTATATCGCGTCCGTCCGCTTTGTCTGGGGCTTCTTTGTATCGGACTTGAAAAAAATAAAAGGTCACAAACAAAAAGCTGATGTCATGAAATAATTCAAAACACACAGAATATGGCCCCGACAACAAGTTTTGAATCCTCAAATTACTGCAGCAAGATGTATCATGATTTAATATAATCTGTATGCTGTTGTGTTAAAATGAGTAGATCTACTTTCATGAATATGATAATTGCACTTATATGAACTCAGTGCATTAGTTCGTTTAGATTAAGTTATTGATCAAACGGTTACGATAGAAACATGAAAGTGCTCATCTTTTAGTACTTGTTTAAAGAAAGATGCTCGTGTTAATACATTTATTAACCACCATCTTTCATTTCAGCATAATCATTTATTTACTCTATATATCTTTTTCTTATAAAAAACAAATTTGTGAACATAACATAGGCTTTATATGGTTAAACTAAATTGGGTCCAGCTAAATAGAACCAAAATTGTTTGTAAGTGAATCCTATTAAATAATAGCCCGTGTTTTATGACATAATGATTGCGGTGGAATTTTTTCATGACAAGCACCAGCTAATCAGTGATCCTTGCTGTATAACTTACATATACAGTAATATTAAATGGTCAGAAACAAACGATATTATAGGTGACAAACAAAACATCAATATTTGTGTACAGGAAAACAGCAAAAAATATTCTATGAACGATGCAAAATTGCTTTCAACAACATTCCATAATAAAAAGCACTTATGCCCTTAGAATTAATAAAAATACATCTGTCGTGGGCTGTTGCATGCAGGTATGCAATTTTACGTACTTTATTGTAAGTATATATTAAGTTGGTGTGAACGCCCGATGGTATTCTCACCCAGCCTCAATATTGCTCAATATTATATTAGAGATGATGTTTGGTTAACCAATAATGCCAATGTACCATTTAATATGTAATGGCAGTTTTAATAAGCTTTAAAAAAGATCATTATAAAAATATAACCTAATGGTCAGTGTCCTTAAAATTAGAAAATATTACTGATAATAAAAAATTCATAATTCCCTCAAGGGTAATCATTGATCTCTGGTTGTTCACATATTGGATATTAGATTAAAATTATACATAATTATATACATTTATATCTATACGCGCATACAGATACGTTTGTAATATAAATATAGGCTAAATACTGCATTTATATAAATACTGTATATATATAACAGAAATGAACAAAGCACATATAATAATTAAATTATATACTGCAGTAAGGTATTCTGCAGAGCGGATTCGTTTGCTACTGTTTCACGATTGTCAAATTCTGTAAACAGTGATTTTAACAGGACACGTCTGACATACCGTTAAACGACTCGGCAAAGGACAATAGAATTAGCCCCGGTTACAGGATTTAAGGAGAAGACGCGATTAAAATCAATATTTGCCGATATGGAAGCCTCTTATATCTGAAAATTGATTCGATAATATTTTGATATTTGAGTACGATTGGCGTTCGGCTCTGCGGCAGACGACAGATGGGCACGCGCTGTTTAGCGTAAGCAGAATACAAAGAGATGTACCGTTCTCTTATGCTAAAGGTGAACTGATAATTGCTTTATAGCAGTTTACTTTACAACTTTATTGAAAGTTGAAGGAATTTAGATTTACATTTACAGTTAGAGATGATTCGGCTGCCACCTGTCACCTTATGTACCGGCAGCCGGAACAAAGCAATACGGTGACAGGTTGCATTTGGGGCTTATTACATCGCCTCTTCATTTTTGTGGTTGCCATGCTGACAAATACATGAATTAATTTGTTGTGGTCAGTTTGTTCACAATTTGTATAGCTTTAAAGTCTAAATTAAATGCTGACGAAGTTTACAGTATGTTAGTTATATGGAAGGTCAACCTGAATTAACAAAGGGGAACTATTATATCACTATGTGAATCAATCGGTAACATTACACATTGTCTATAGATTAACGAGTATTTGTAAATGTGACCTTCACTATAATGCAGTCTATAATATTGCTTAAGTAAGCAAAGAAGTAGTAGTGTCTATTTTAAGATGTATTACGTTAGCTGCGCTCAAATCTGAGATTTAAAGTTGTCTTAAATTTCAGATGAATCGAGTAGTATAGAGGCAAAGTTAAAAGTATAACAATACAAAAGAGAATGAGGAAATTTAATGTTAAAGAAAAGAAAAACGGAACCAAAGATCGCACCATTCGGTAATTTGTGCTGCCCTCATTACACGCATCATATTTTACCAGGAACTTAAATGTATTGACAGTTGATCAGGACAACATTACTGTTTAGTAACTTTAATAGTGCATATATACATGCATTTATATATATTTGTTCCTTTTTTATTGTTATATTTTATTATAAATAATTATTTCTTTTTCTTCTTTGAAAGGCAATATGTATTTAAGTTTTTATTAACTTTGTATACTTAAATGTTACCTTCTTGAAATTCCTTTTTTAAAGAGCCCAGAATAATTAAAGTTTTGTCTATATTCAGAAAATTGTAAGTGCTTTATATAAGTATTGTTTTTATAAGTTATTTTTAAAGACTAACAAGATACCCAAATACTTATATTTGTATTAGGTCGCTAGATGGATGGATGGATACTTTCGTTCTCCAGAAATAAAGAGCATAAACATATACAATTATAAGTAAGATTACAAAAAAACACACATATTATCACATAATACCGGTATATAGTTAAAATATTCATAAATCATTCGCACTATATATTACATATGATCACAATAATTAAACCAGGCATCATGAAAGATTATCAATATCATTAGAACAACAATCAAAATCCATGCGCACAATGATATAGTTTGGTACCATTTTACTAAATTATAACAAAACTTACAAAAAAAAACATCTACAAAGAAATTATTTTTAGGTTTTCATAAAAATGCAAAATGCTAGAAATATCATTTACTGTTGTTTGCTATTTTCCATTTGTTTAAAACGCACACAAATCCTTTGTGGAGGATTTTTACATACATTCAAGTGGACGAGTTTCTACCAACCGCCCACCCCATCATGTCAATCCCAGGATATGGTGAGAGATGAACATTAAGATGTGTTATTAAGAAATGATCTCGTCCGTTTCGGAAACATGGAGGTAAATTGACTACAACCTACACTGACTTTGCAGCCATATAAAAGGACTCAGCCATGGATGGTACGGAATTTTGCTCGCCCATATGGTTCATTCCGGAGGCGAGGGTAAATAAACCAAACACACACACACACACACACACACACACACACACACACACACGGTACGGAATCTTGGCGTAACAACAGGCAATATATAGAGTCAGATTTCCGAGTTCATCCGGGTGTTGGGAAATGAAACCTGTGATGTTATGCTGTATGTATTTGAACAATTGAAAATTTTACATATTTAGTTCTTACATACACACAAGTCAGCTCTTCGAAAGAAAAAAAAAGATTTTTTTTAAATCACTTATAGTTATCATCAAAGGCCTATGTTTATTGTGATAAATGGACACAGCTGTTGTAGGATAATAACAATAAAAATATTTCAACGCAACATTAAACATAAACTTTACTTTATCAGTATCAAAATTTAAGTGTGTATGTGTGTCACCAAGGTGGCGCGTGGCGTATTTCAAATTTTTGACAAGGGGCGCGTGCCGTTGTGTCTCACCTGTCAGAGGTTAATGTGGGTCTGCTGCTCAAAATATTTACATATGTTACCATTTTACATATGGCTTTTTAAAATGAAAAAATAAGAGAAAACGCAGATGTTGCGACATTTGAAAACCTTTTTTTATAGTAGTTCACGATTCAGTGATTTAATACACATACTCTTCAAATCGCTTAGTTTTTTCTACTTAGCTGATTTTGATTTATTTAAGAAGAAGAGAGGAATGGAATGCTGCTGCCCATGACTAAAAAGTTAGATTTTTAGAACATAGCTGTAGGGCGTGGCCGAGTGGTCAACGCGCCGGACTAGTTATCTAAGGATTGCTGGCCACGCCACAACCCGTCAGGAGCAAGCTGTTAGTTCTTAGCCAGAAACTTTATACTTTCATTGCTTAGTTGGTTCTGAGAACGGATTCTATAGTGTGTCTTGAAGCTTATAGCCTCCTACACGACCGAACTTAAATAAATTCTGTATAAATTAAATGTTGTACGCTTTTTTTAATCTCATGTCATTGACTGTAACCATGTACATGATTCTATGTGATCGATGTACTGACAATACCAGAGTAGCAACAAGATCGCACCGTCTAATTTTAATAACTCCAATTTTCCCAATAACCGCTCTCAAATATCACCAAGTTGGCAACAGCGTCAGGCGAATTTCTACAAATAAACCCAGTTGTGCTGTCTCCAAGGTTATTGTAAATATAAATTCTATTTCTAGACTTTGCATGCGTATATAATAAAGTAATTTTGCAGAGGTGTCTAAGAATAGACGCCTGTTTTAAATAAGATACGGAATATAAACACTAACATCAGGATATATCCACAACTAGAGAGAAAACATGACTGTGACTTAACTTTATTCTAATTTGTAAGAATTGTTATTTTCCTAGTGTTTATTACAAAAGCGACCGGTTTCAAAAACAAATTAAAAAAATCGAGTAATTATTCTGTTTTTTTTATTTTATAAAAAGCGAGGTCACATATCAAACACAAGACAACATATGTTATTTTTGTTTTTAACAATCATTTTGTGATCAGAATGTCAGATATGTTGAAAACACTTGCATATTATATGGATTTGTTTAAATAAAACTAAAACTCTCGACTAACCAAAATTAATAGGGGGTTATATGCCACTAGTATAGCAAATATACAAACACGAACATTTAAGTCTTTTGTGGTCGGTCACCTAGGCTCATTTCGGCCTGGCCCAGATATCAGACTCTTATTACAGACTTAAGTTTATATTTTATATAAATTAATACATCTCTGCAGGTAACACAAACAACATGGTAGCGCCCACGAACAGGCTGTCGATTACATTCCTACCAGCTGTGATAGACTAGTAAATAGTAAACAAGTATACATTAATGAATGTATCATTCATGCAGTATATATATCTACATATATCACGTATGTTTACAGTTGAAAAACACGATATAATCTTTATATGAGCGTGTAATATCTTGTATTAAGGTCACCATAAGCAAATTTAAAAGTTAAAAGAAAATTCATTTCAATAGTACAAAACATGATAAATAAACTTTTATTTAACGCTGTAATGAAATCGCAAGAGATTACCTGGTGCGACTTTATCAATTCGACAAGCTTCGGGCTAAAGTTAGAAAAACAAAACAAACAAAATAACTCAAAAAACAACTTGAAATACATGATCAGCCAAACAGTTTCATTTCATGACTTCAATTATTTTAAATATAAATGTCATACTTTAATACAGATTGTTTTCATTTTAATATTAAGTTTTAAAATTATAAGGTATTCTGTCTGTACAAAACTTGAGACACGCAAGCGCAAATCTTTATAGTTTTATTTCAAAATTTAGTATAATTGTGTGATTTTGATCAAAAAGAAATGGATGAATAAATTTTTTAAACTGTCACAGATGAAAACTTTCTACAATTTAAACTTATAAACCACCATCGTGCACCTGTCGATACTTGTAAACTGGCACGCGCCGTATGTCGGAAACCAAGCAGGTGAAACTTTATAGTTTACATCGCTTAACTGGGCAACACTCATCTTACCTTATGAGTAATCATTTACATTATCTTTAAATAAAACCTACATTTTTAAAGCATAGTTTTCTAGTTAAATTAAGATGTTGTCTCTCTTTGTATACATAACTATGTAAATAGAAAGTAAGAATATAGTTTCAGACAACGGGCACAAAGAGAGACAGTAAAACAGTATCTGGACTAGCAGTAAATAAACAAATTCCCCTACGTTAAGTTTCTTTTTTTTATCTTTCACTGAATATATTTATAAATGACAGCACATCTGTGTACATGTATATATAATATCATTGTTCTAAAAATTATACAAGTCTCTACATAATTTTGTAATTCAGATAAGAACCCAATTCCGATAACCGATGCATGGTTTCTACAATATAATTTATTTGATATTATCTAATGCTGAAAAACACCGGTCAGTAACAATGTCCAACATTCTTAAGAAATTGCAACCATTTTTTCAAGCCGACTTTCAAATTTGACATTATTGCTGGACGGTGTGTAGTAAGCACGAGTACAGCTGATAGTTCAAGAAATTAACAAATCTTCTATGATATAAAACAAAGATATTGACCAGGTCAAACGTCAAGATCATTTATGATGCGAGCATTTTATGCAAATATAAAGCAGTATTATGAGTTATAATTTATGTACATTTTACTTTCCCTGGAAGTTCATATTTCAGTTTTACAGCCTGCTAATGAGTTTGGACAGGGAGCTCAGTTTACCTGTGGAGAAAAGTGAGCGGTGTGAAAACCGATACAAAGAGAAGAGAAAACGTTACCACGCAATTTGATAGGTATGAGAAATTAAATGTTGATACATTACCAAGACCTCAATGCCCCGTATAACTCACTCCCAACTCACTCCCGCAATATCGCTGAAATCAGCAGGGCTCAGTTTTTGATATAGTTTTACAATAAGCAAAGTTAGCAAGGAGCGTTCTTTGTACCTATTAATCTTCTCACACACCCAATGAACCCGATACACTATGAACATGCTCAAAGGGCGGTAATTTTTGTCCATACCAAAGAGTGTGTTTTTTTTGCCCTTACTGACAGGAAAGTAGGGATAAGTACTTTATTATATATATACACATACTATAAACATTACAGTATGATAACACTTATAAAAGTTTATGATGTTCTTTAAATAATAGGAAAGAGATATCACATATTCCATATCAAACATTTAAGGACAACACTATGTTGTTCATTGTGCTTTGAAAAAATAAATACAGTTATTGATTGTAGAATGTTTATTTGTTATATAAAGGACGGATGTTTCAAGTGTAAATGCATTATCACAGTATTTGCTTATTAAATATGTAAGTAAAAGTAAAGAAATAATACATCTTGAATTAACAAACACTATATCATTCATTTCATATATATGTTTAAGAGTAAATTTCAATATTCACATATTACATGTATAACAATATTTCCATAAAACCCTAGAACAATAGTCTGGAACATGAAATGAATGCAGTGTAAAATAATAGCAACCATATGTTCACTGTAAAATGAAATGTCTGCAGATTTTAAAATAACAAGTGTGTGTTGTTTACTGCACGAGTACAAGTAGCATGAATTTAGAATTCATCAATTGGTAGGATCTGGAACACAATAAATATTCATCATGTTATATTAGTTTATAAGCAATAGACAAGAATAGTGAAATATTGAATTTATATAAATCTAAAGCATTTTATGTTAAAAAATAATAATTTGATTTTAGTTAGCTATTATCAAATCAGTACCTAATGATTTATGAATTAAAACACATATAACTGTAATGGAAAGTTTAAAAAATTGGCAGCTTTGGCTAATTTGGCATACTAGTAAAACAGGTGACCTAAATGATTGTAGAAGAACCAAACTAGATCTCTAGCATCATTATGTGGCACAAGATGGCGCTTATATCAATACTCGTGATTCGAACAGCTCTAACATTTGTCAATAAAAGCACTCTATGACCTTATATTATCTCCCTTTCTAAACTTTATATTCTATCTGATTACTTCTAAATATTGTATGATTGCATTCCAGTCATTTGTTAACATATCTGCTAACATGTTAATACATTACAAATATTATATAGCAATTATTATAATACATATGCATGTGTAAAACTTATGCATGTAAATCTCTTAATATACTACAGGGACATTATAAAATGAAAATGTTAACAGTGATAATTCAAACATAAAAGTACATTCCCATGCTAACATTAATATATATGCTAATGGATATGAAACAAAACATAACAAGAGAAAAGTGATTTGCATATTAGCAAGGAAGACATTTTATAGATGTTAATGAATATATCATGAAAAACAAATTAAGTGAAAAATGTTATGAAATCTTTAAATTCTTTTTACATCTTGTTTCTATAAAACCCTGCAAAACATTTATTTATACATTTGCAAAAAAGTCCATAATGAAATATAAATTTAGAATAAAATGTCAAAATATAGTATTTATCTGGGATCCTATACACAAAATTCAGATATACTCCTTGAAATAATAAGTTTCAAAACATTTTATGAAATACAAGTGAAAATATGCTCAGGTTCACTATAAAGAAATAAACAATTATTTAACTGACAAATGTATGAACAAACAGCTAGAAGTAAATCAACCCAACAACATTTACCACATAAATAAAACATTATAAAGCCTATTTTTTCTGTGTATCAATCTAAATATAAATTTATTTATTTTTTATCATATTCTTAAACAAAATATCTACAGTATACAAAACTTATAAGAATCACACGCATATTAACATTGATGAAGTGATCATGTGATTGGTACATGTACTCTGATTGGATATTAACATTAACGAAGTGTTCATGTGATTGGTACATGTACTCTGATTGGATATTGACATTAATGATCACATGATTGGTACATGTACTCTGATTGGATATTAACATTAATGAAGTGATCATGTGATTGGTACATGTACTCTGATTGGATATGTTCTATCTAGAAGATCTTCCACTGGGAATTTGTTCTTTGTAATGATGAAAAGTTTGAAGTTGGCAGTACGGAGGTCGTTGAATTTATTTTTATGATACTCAGGTGGATCTGTCTCCTTCACCAGCTTTAAATACCTACAATAAAATTTATATTCCTTCATAGTAAGATAATATTTGATTTAATATTAATATTCATTATTTTACAAATAAGACTAATTATAAGAAATGGCAAAAGAGTTGAACAACAAGTTCTAGCAACTTTGGCAACTTCAGCCTTCTCTTCAAGCATTATACAAATATAGTCCAACTAATTGTACTGCGCAACGAGATATTGTGCTATTTTCGTGTCTGGGCAATATCTGGCCGTTAAAGCGAGATTATGCCCCATAAGGAAAATATCTCAGAATCAAGCTTTGGCATGTCAATATATTTTGACTATATACAAATATAGCAGAGCCGACAGCTTACTTGACTATTCTCAGTGCTTGACAGTAAGAAAAGGGGCATTATCCTGTACCTGTGCCCATCATATTACTATAATCACAGAGAAAAAGAAGTTTTTGCATGCAAAAACTTAACTACAGTGTGATGCTGATGCCACAAATTTGGGAGTACAATCAGCTCTCCCTATACTTCAAATAGTGGAGCTTGTAAATGAATACATGTTTAAACACTATACACACATCAAAACAATATTATTTATTTATCTATTATTCTTCCTTTTTACCATTATTACTAGATTCTGGTAAAATTTATGAAAATTAAAACTTGTTCTTGAAGGTCAAAATTTTGTCAAGTGTACAAAAAAAAAAACAATTTAAGCTGAGCCTTACACAGAAATAACTTTTTAAATGTCAAAATCTGCAGAAATAACCTTTACTACATCAGTAACTGGGTAGGAAATGTAAATAATAAAAAAATGTGTATACTTTGGAAAGTTTGGATATTTAAACATGCAGAATGACATTTGACTTAAAAAATGTCTTAACAGTTCTTTAACCATCAATATATTAATCTTAAAGATCCTGTAACACAATTTTTTCATGGTTTTATTTCATAAATATGATGCTCAAAGTAAGATTTGTCAATATTGTAAGTTCCAATAAGCATTATTTATAAAGATATTACTAGTACCCAATTTAACATTTCATGTAAATAAAGGGAGGTAATTAGAAATTTATTTTCTATAAATTCTAAATCAAACTTTCCAATAAGAAATGAATGCATGTAATTTATTGATTAAATATAATGTGCACAAATATTTGCAGTACACGTTTTACATATTCTTCGATGTTTGAAAATTGTTTTATTTGCATAAACATATATAATTTTTTGCAAGTGTGGTTATACACACAGTAACAATATCACTAACAAAACATACGGGATCTTCAAGTTTGAATTTTCCAAACTATTTTATATTAGCCAAGTGTTTTTAATTATACAAATGATTTATGGAGAACAAAAATACATTTGTAGTCTACTTTGAAAAAATACAACTTTTTCTCTTTTTTTTTTCTTTACCCTAAACCTGCTGATTTTGTGTAACAAATTTCCACTGCTTTGACCTTGAAACCATCCAGTCAAAGAGATTAGGGATTTTTGTGCAGGCAACCAACAGTATAGAGCCTGGTCAGACTGCACGGATATGCAGGCTGGTCTGTCTCTTTACTGGGGGCAAAGGCTCATCACATTCTGTTCAAGCAGCCAAAGGTAAAATTTATTTAAATATCTACTTTAAATATATATTAGACTGACACTCCCATTCTTTAAATCAAGGAAGCTGTTATATATATACCATGGTCACAGGTGTCTTAGTTTGTATTTAAACAAGAACATCCATGCAGGTTATTATCATAATCATTATTTAGACTTTTTCTGTTTTATTTCTACTATATCAATATTAACCAAATTCTTTATTCCATTGTTTCTGGTTTTCTTCTTCTTCAGATTTGAAGCAGATCAATTACATAATTTTATTCAAGTGCTAACACAAATTTTGATACTAAGATTTTAAAACAGATGTCAATTTTCACATAATACCAGTATCTGTTAGATTCAGACAAAGCTTTCAGTTACAGTAAAACCTATTCTATGAAATGTCTGTATGCAATAATTAAAACAACCTGACCTGGTTTCTTTTCTGTGAAAGAACAGAACATAACAATTTTACAATTGTATATAATTTGTCAATCCTTAATTCAAAACAAAGTGGTTCATTAATGCAGAAATGAAAACAATTAAATTAATGTTAATTGATAATTAATATATTTCAAAATATGAATAAATTAACAGTGTTTAAATACTGTCACAAGTTTATAATTGTTATATCAATGAATACATATCTTTCAATGCTTTAATTTATTCTAAAATATATTTTTATTTGTGGTTTATAGTACTGAACTATGTAAAAATATAAACTAATATGTTAACCTGAAATCATCATAGTTTGTACAATGATGTCATACATAGATATAATTAAAATCTCTCACTGAAAATGACAACTTATTCTAATTTAATGAACCTTATCAATTCTGGGAATATAATTGTTTTTCTAATTTGAATCATAGTGATGTTTTATCTTTATTTTTCATTCAAACAAAAACTTTTAACTTATCACTGATTTTCGGAAAGTTTTTTTTTAAAGCAGGTTTACCATATTTACACTACATGTACAATAGAAGGGAGACAACCTCAATAACAAATTTCATACTAATATAGGTGAAAAAATATCAAAGAAGTAAGAACAATTTTTATTCATAAAAGAAAATTTATGGTTAATGTTTATGAGCCATATAATTAAAGTATACATTAATTTATTAAACAATTGGATAACTTGTTCTAAAACATTTTTTTCTTATCTTCAGTTTATGTCTGATGTCATACATGTATTACATTGTTCATCAATTATTAGTCACATTTCAGTAAATAATGAGTCATTTATTTAAGAATGGTTATGTAACAAAACACTTCGATAATGAAGCATTTATATCTCATTCATTTCAATTGTAAAAAGCTCAATAATATGAGGTTTGAAACTGTCATTTGAAAAAAAAGCCATCTGTTTAACTGAATCATAAAATTAAATCATAAAATGTACGTGTATGTTTCATGTTTGGAAGCTTATTGTATAACAATAACTGCCAATTGTATTGTGTCTTCTCTTTCCATTTTTGTTTAGTTTGGTTTTACAGCTCGCCAACACGATTAATGTCATATGTTGCCAAAACAGGAAAGATGATTTTGGCTAACCTTTGGTGTTCAAAAATTAAAGCAACACCAGGGGTCAAAACCAACTCACCTGCTGGATCTAAGACATGCAAAGACTCCATTAATTCAAACCCATTTTGTCACCTTTTATGACCATCCAGGGATAAAAGGTTGCTGCAATACTGATGCCTCATCCCTTATATCAACACCTCAGCCACAAAGGGTCCCTTTGTATGTGATGGTTAGAGCATAACAGAGACAGTGCAGTACAATATGACATTAAATATCCTATAATTGCTTAAATTCATTGTTTATACTTCTAGATTGATTATTTTTTATAATTAAAAACAAATGTCAATATGCAAACTAAATATGCAACTTTGTTAATTACAAAAAAAATATTGTAAGGACCTTTTGACTTATAAAACCAGGATTAACTATCTTTTCTTTCTTATTTCATACTTGTGCAGATACAATTTGCTATGTGTAATGCCATATATTATAAATTCTTATTGACCTTATAAGCCATTAGTAAAGGTCTTTAATTAAAATAACAACTGTTAAATAACCTTGCACTAGAAAGTAAGACAATTTGTCCATATATAACACACTCATTATGTGATGACAATGTTAACACTATACAACTATAGATAAGTGATTCTATATATAGAACATTTCAACAAAAATATATCAATGAACTAATTTACTGTACTTCAATTAACACACCTGAACTATAACTATCTTAAAAAGATAAGCCCTGGGCAGAATTTAGCACAAGGCAATACACAGTGCTTTGGTTTCAATAACTTACATAAAGCCGGACCTCTTTATGATATATGTAAAGTTAGTTGTTGGAATCTGGATATAAACTCTCCTTTTAAGGTTTTTATGGTGCAAAGTTTAAATTGAAAACAATTTATTCTATTAATTAAATAAATTGACATTGATATATTAGACCTAATTAACATTTAATTCATATCATATCATACAAGTGCTAAAAGTGAAAGGTATACTAGTATATAATAATGGCCTCATTTTGTTTACTTTACTTTAAGAATAAGAAAACTTACATGAAATACGAATCATTAAGTACATTGATATAAATCAATTGATGGGTGTGAATGGAAGCAATGTAAGCCAAGATTGGTTATAACATGACTGAGTGATACCTATATTCAGAGTTAAACACTAACTCATTTCTTGTATGTTTTATAGGTTAATCAGATGATTTATTATGAGTGAATATCTCATTCATTTACTACATGCATGTATTCAACATTATAAAGATCATATATATATTGAAACAATAGCATAATTATAAATTTCAGTCCCTTACTATCATATAGCAGTACATTTCAAAAGTTTTCCATAACTGTTTTTTCCTTATACGTGTACTATTATTTCATGTCAAACATACACTCATCATGCAATGTGAACACTTTTTTTTCAAATGGAAACTTTAGTTAAATACATATTCATGCTGGCATCCAAATAGACCAGTTTCATGGTGCACATAGTCCCTAAACATGTTAAATGAGCCCTTTATGTCACTTTACCAGCAGGGAGTGATATTTGTATGAGAAATTGGTAGTTAGTGAGAGATTGAACCTCTTGATATATTATAAAGTAAACACTTACTCCTGTTCCTGCATGATAGACTTATCCATGATAGCATTAAGAAGTCCTGGTGTTACCTCATCAAATCTTCTCTCTACAGCATGAAACATATCTACCTCCATCATATCAATTATCAGTGGTTTACCATACCTATATACAGTAAATAAATTCAACTGTCAGTTACGTATGTACACCATTATTATGTGTGGAAAAGGCTGCACATTTTAGTTTATCAACATCTCATCACTGATTGAATCTATGATCATATTGGTTTGAATTACAAGACAAGGTCATCCTTAAATTACCCAACACCAAAGAAATGTTATTTTAAGTTTACATGTTTCTTTTTTTTTCTTTATTTTAACTTTTTAAAATAAATCAATATGAACAGACTATTCTGATCATATATAAATCCTTAACATGTTTTTTCAAATAAGGTTTACAGTGTAACTACAGTAATCTCTCATTCAAATATGCTTAGAGGCCAGCAGGTTTTCACTAATTTTTGGATGATTTTCACTACTAGTAAATAAACTTAAACCGATGTCCAAATCTGAAAGGGGTTTTGCTGAGTCATAAGAGACATGGCGCTCGAACCCGCTTTTCTTGATATGTCTGCATGTATGTTCACTAAGTTTAAAGTTGGGTACTTACTGTTATCAAATTGTGCTAAACTAAAATTATCTTTATACATAACTCTAACTTTAAAACTAATTACTCTTGAAATATGTAGTAGTTTTGAAAAAAAATAAACTTATACTGAGTTTGATATAAACTACATATTTAATATTGAGAGAATAGAAAGATTTATTTCTATACTGAGACACGATACTGTTTAGGTTTAAGAAAATAAAAACGCTATTGAGAAAACCTGTTTATACTAAGATATTGAATAATTTCTAGTTAATTATGAATGCATATACCTGATTGCACCGAGAACCGACATGCGTACTTTCTCGGGTTCCATCTGTGCCGGACTAAGTGTATTGAGGTAATTAGTGTCCCGATAACGTAAGAAAGTTGCAGCTTGAGCGTTAGGATCTATTATCAATGCCCACCTAGAAACAGTTAATAGTTGCTATCAATTTTTAAATAACAGGCAACTTATCAAAGCTGTTGAAATGCCAAGAGGATATTAAAGATAAACAAGAGTGGTTGCTAGAATGGACAAATTATAACCATATATGTTGTTTTTTGTGTGTGTTTTTCCAAGCAAATCCCCCGTAAAAGTAAAAGTATGTTTGTACCCCCTGAAGAAGCTGAGAAAATCCAAAATATCCCATCAATATGAGTAAGATTATAAAATAATTGATTCTTTAAAATGTTCATTATATGTGTAAATATCAGTTCAAATTTATCAGCTTTATTCCAACAACTCTTACTAACAATTTAATTTTCTCTATCAGAATCTCAGTATCTAAACATATCTAAATTATTGTGATCATATCATTATACTACTGGAAAAACTGATGTTGCTATTGCCACATGTAGGTCTGATACTTACTTGCCAGAGTCTCTAATTCTATTTCCTATATCTCTCATCAGTACATCATCTAGCTCACGTATAGTGACCTTCACCCCTGGTAAGTCATCTTCATCCATATCTGTAAACAAGAACAGAAACTGTTATTTAAACAATTTATAAATTTTAAGGTCAAGCTAGTTACAGACTTAGCAAAAACAACTAAACATTTGAAATAATAATAAAAACAAACAATCAGTTTCACTGTCTTCAGAAATGATCCTCTTTCAGCAAGAATGTATGAATTTGGAAGCATAATGCTAAACAAGAGCTGTCAGAAGGACAGCGCGCTCGACTTTTTTAGTGCTTGCCTATAAAACAAAACTTTGACAGTTAAGGGCACACAAGACTTTAACTAGGAATTTCTAAGTACAAATCAAGAAACATTTTCACAGAGTTATCTTCTCTTGCTTACAGATAGGTCTCATGATGGCACATAAGAACTCCAACTTCCAAAGTAATATCTCAAATGGTTAAGTCAACAAGTGGACAAGAATGAAAATCTTAACTGAGTTTCTAAGTCAAAAAGGGCCATAATTCAAATAAAATGCTTAACAGAATTACCTTCTCCTGCCCATGTTTTGGGACCATGATGGTAAACAAGTATTCCAACTTTCAAATTAATATCTCAAACAGTTCAGTCAAAAAGTGGACTGGTACTAAAAACTTAACCAAGATTCTAAGTCGATAAAAGGCCTTAATTTTTAAAACAAATCCTTGACAGAGTTACCTTCTCTTGCGTACAGATGGGGGTAATGATGTGAAATAGCATTAAAAGTTTCAAAGCAATATCTCAAAGGGTTAAGGCAATAAGTGGATTTTACCCATATTCAATGTATTTTTCTAAGTCAAAAAGGGGCATAATTCTGTCAAAAACCTTGACAGAGTTATGTCCTCTTGTCTGTTGATGAAGGTCGTGATGGTAAACAAGTATGGTCAGTTTCAAAGCAATACCTCCAATGGTTTTGAAATAAAGTGAGGTGGTACAAAAAACTTAACCAAGCTCAATACACTTTCTAAGTCAAAAAAGGGCCATAATTCTGTCAAAAACCTTGACAGAGTTATGTACTCTTGTCTGTAGATGGAGGTTATGATGGTGAACAAGTATGGTAAGTTTCAAAGCCATACTTGTAATACTTCTGAAATAAAGTGGGGTGGTACGAAAAACTTAACCAAGGTGTGACGCCAACGCCGACGCGAGTAGGATAGCTCCCCTTTTCATAGAAAAGTCGAGCTAAAAAGGTAAGTCTATTATCGATTTCAGATTCATAGGCCTAGATCAGGTGGTTTTGTATACACTTACCTTTATTTAAGTTTTCAACAGCCCATACATAGCTTGAATATATGTTAAAACTATTGTAAAATCCCCCTGTCATAACTCTTACTCAATAAATTTTATAATAAACATTGATTTTTTTTATACAAGTAACAGAACATTTATAGTTTATCTACCTTCTCCCCCTTTCTGCTGTTCCCTGAGTTTAAGTTTAGCCATGGCAAGCTTGTCTCGAGCTTTATCTAGGTCAATTTTTAACACCTCAACTTCACATTCCTGGTCTTGTATAGCCTATAAAATATTATAAAATATAATACTAAAACCTGACATTAAGTAAAACAAGTATATAATTTTCTATATAAAAAAACTGTGATCCAAAAAACTTACTTTCTAGTATTGCTAATTAAATGACAACCTATTTACTAATATAAAATAAGGAAAACACTTATATGGCCACTCTTTTCTTCATTAAGATAAAAAATCACTTCACAGAGATCACAGAATCAATTCAACAATAAGGAGACATGTTTATTATACATTTTAAGTCAAATTACATTTATGCATTTTTTAAATTATAGAACCATTGCATTTGAACTTTTAAAGTAATTGATTAATAACATATATTCATTCAGTGATATAAGCCAAGACTTAAGCTTCCTATAATGTTAAGTATATCTCTGGTATATGTTGTATGTACAGCACAGGGGAGACAATCACATTTAATAGCACAGTATTATTACATGTTATTTCCATGTTAAATTGTCAAAATGTCCTCGTCTATTCTCATATTGTTGCACTTTAATAGATAAATGACAAGCTATATAAAAGTTCAAAAATGTAGCAGTTTTTGTTTATTTCACAGTTCCTCAAAATAGTTTCTATATGCTAATTGATTATTGTGATGTTATCTATATAAGGAGACTTCTATGGACAAAAATAAACTGTGTTAATATAAAAGTGCTAATATATTGTAGTGATGAAACATTTCATAAGTTTTACATAAATCATCTCTCTCATTGCATAAAGTTATCAATACAGTGAATATAGATCATGACACAAATTGAAATATAAAATCACATTAACCAGGGCTTTTTTCCTTCTATACCAGGGGCCATTATAGGAATGTTTCCCGAAAGACATTTTTTTTTAAATCATGCAGTTTTCACCCAAAATTGAGCTTACATACAGTTTTTTCTTCCCCTTTTGCAAATAAACCGTGTAATTTTCACCCAAAATTGAGGACAGGGCTGCTTCATCAACCTGTGAAAAAAAGCCCTGAGTCAACACACAGTTTAAAGTACAAGGTAAAAGTTGACAAACCTGTAGGGTGATTTCTGGTTTGTCAAATCCCATTGATGGTCCAGCATCATGCTCATATATTCTCTTCTGTAACTCACAGTATGCATGTTGAAACTAAAAAATAAAATATTCTTACAAGTTGACCAAAGTTTCAGTAGTTTTATTTTTACATAACTTTAAGTAATAACTTAGAACTATAGTAACAAGAGCTGTCACAGGAGACAGCCAAGCTCGACTAATAAAATACTGGACGCAGTAAGGAGGACAAAACTATGAAAGAAAAATCAATTATGTATTATTATGTATTAAATTATAGTAAAAAAATAACATTTGTTAACATAAATTCCAAGATCAAGGGAAATAATTCTAGAAATAGTCACGCTAGAGTTATGAACCTTGTCACACAACATGTGTGTTATGATAAGAAATATATATTTGAAGTTTGAAGTAGATACCTTAAAAAGTAAAGAAGTTATAATATTTCTTAAAGAAAATCCTAAGTTCAAAGAGAGATAAATCCGTGAAAATTGCTTCAAGAGTTATGAACATTGTCACATAAAATGTAATTGATGATAAGGAATAAGTATTTGAAGTTTGAAGTAGATACCTTTAAAACTAAAAAAGTTATAGTAAAAAATAACATTTTTCTAGTAAAAAAATCTAAGTTTATAGGGAGATAATTCTTGCAATATTGGTGCTAGAGTTATGAACCTTGTCACATAAGATATGGATGATGATAAGATACATATATTTGAAGTATGAAGTTGATCCCTTTAGAAATAAATAAGTTACAGTAAAAAATAATATTTTTTAAGGAAAATTCTAAGTTCAAGGGGAGATAAATCTGAAATTATTTGTGCTAGAGTTACGAACCTTGTCACATAAGATGGGGATGATGATAAGGTACATATATTTGAAGTATGAGGGTGATCCCTTAAGAAATAAAGAAGTAACAGTAAAAAATAATATTTTTTAAGGAAAATTCTAAGTTCAAGGGGAGATAAATCTTAAAAATATTGGTGCTAGAGTTATGAACCTTGTCACATAAGATGGGGATGATGATAAGGTACATTTATTTGAAGTATGAGGGTGATCCCTTAAGAAATAAATAAGTAACAGTAAAAAATAATATTTTTTAAGGAAAATTCTAAGTTCAAGGGGAGATAAATCTGAAATTATTTGTGCTAGAGTTACGAACCTTGTCACATAAGATGGGGATGATGATAAGGAACATATATTTGAAGTTTGAAGTTGATATGTTAAGAAATGACAAAGTTATAGTGAAAAATATTTTACTGCACCAAAACTTTAATCTGAAATCTGGACGCCGACGCCGGGGCGAGTTGGACAGCTCTCCATATACTTCGTATAGTCGAGCTAAAAACTGGAGACTTCATGTCAGATACAAGCTTAAAGCTTATGTTTTGTACTGTTAACCATAACTGACTATATATAAAGTTTGTCTTACTTATTTAAGAAATAATTTTTGAATTGGAAAACACATGTTAATTAATTGGCTAGAGTTACCTAACATAATATTTAACATAGAATTTGTAATAGCATGTCCACATACATGTATAGCAAAGGTAATAGGTTCAACTTATGAAACCTCAATAAATGCATCTGTAACTTGTCTATTACATGACAGTGAATCATAAACAATAAACACCTAATGTATATCTATAATGTGCTAATGATATCTTTATAAAGTGATCATTCTATTTAGTGAACAAAGTTTAAGGTCTGATACTAATATTTAACTTTGTAGATATCAATTTGAAGGATTGTAACTAAAGTACCCTCTTTTCCATGATGTTATACTCTTCTTGTACTTCTTTCAAAACATCTTCTAGCCTGTAATACAGTTATCACAAATGAAACAAGTTGAAAAAAGAAATATGACGGTAACAAAGTCATGAAAAGTTGTAAAAAAACAGATTTTTCCATCAATCTGATCGGATTCTGATGAAATTTTCCCTTAATTATGAGTAGTTTTAAATACAGGCTGGTTGGCTACTTGTAGAAGCATAGCTGACATTGTTGGTTAGAGTGCAGATGGTAAAAATATTATATTCTGTTTAACTAGAATACAACCAAACTGACCAACTCTTATGTGTTGTCTAAACACTGCTCTCTCATTTCAATTACTAAGTCTAGTATTTTCATATTGTATAATTAAAACAAGAGGGCCATGATGGCCCTGAGGTCGCTCACCTGTATATAGCCCCCCCCCCCATAAGAAGATGTTTCATGCTAAACATCTAAGCTCTAGCTCATTGGGCTTTTTAAAAGAAGATTTTTTTAAGTTTTTACTATACACATATAGTTAAAAACAATGACACCCCTGGGGCGGGGCCAGTTTTGACCCCAGGGCTTTTATTTGAACAAACTTTGTAGACACTTACTAGAAGATGTTTCATGCTTAATATCTAAACTCTAGCTATTTGGGTTTTTTCAAAGAAGATTTTAAGTTTTTGCTATACACATATAAGGAAAATCAATGACCCCCGGGGTGGGGCCAATTTTGACCCCAGGGCTTTTATTTGAACAAACTTTGTAGACACTCACTAGAAGATGTTTCATGCTTAATATCTAAACTCTAGCTATTTGGGTTTTTTCAAAGAAGATTTTTTAAGTTTTTGCTATACACATATAAGGAAAATTAATGACCCCCCGGGGCGGGGCCAAATTTGACCCCAGGGCTCTTATTTGAACAAACTTGGTAGACATCCAGTAGAACATGTTTCATGCTAAATATCTTAGCTCTAGCTCTTTGGGTTCTTTAAAAGAGGATTTTTAAAGTTTTTACTATATGCATATAGGGAAAATCAATGACCCCCTGGGGCAGGGCCAATTTTGACCCCAGGGCTTTTATTTGAACAAACTTGGTAGACACCCATTAGAAGATGTTTCATGCTAAATATCTTAGCTCTAGCTCTTTGGGTTCTTTAAAAGAAGATTTTTTAAGTTTTTACTATATGCATATAGGGAAAATCAATGACCCCCTGGGGCGGGGCCAATTTTGACCCCAGGGCTTTTATTTGAACAAACTTGGTAGACACCCATAAGAAGATGTTTCATGCTAAACATCTAAGCTCTAGCTCATTGGGCTTTTTAAAAGAAGATTTTTTTAAGTTTTTACTATACACATATAGTTAAAAACAAAACACCCCTGGGGCGGGGCCAGTTTTGATCCCAGGGCTTTTATTTGAACAAACTTTGTAGACACTTACTAGAAGATGTTTCATGCTTAATATCTAAACTCTAGCTATTTGGGTTTTTACAAAGAAGATTTTAAGTTTTTGCTATACACATATAAGGAAAATCAATGACCCCCTGGGACGGGGCCAATTTTGACCCCAGGTCTTTTATTTGAACAATTTTTGTAGACACTCACTAGAAGATGTTTCATGCTTAATATCTAAACTCTAGCTATTTGGGTTTTTTCAAAGAAGATTTTTTAAGTTTTTGCTATACACATATAAGGAAAATCAATGACCCCCTGGGACGGGGCCAATTTTGACCCCAGGGCTTTTATTTGAACAAACTTGGTAGACACCTATTAGAAAATGTTTGATGCTAAATATCTTTGCTCTAGCTCTTTGAGTTCTTTAAAAGAAGATTTTTTAAGTTTTTACTATATGCATATAGGGAAAATCAATGACCCCCTGGGGCGGGGCCAATTTTGACCCCAGGGCTTTTATTTGAACAAACTTGGTAGACATCCATTAGAACATGTTTGATGCTAAATATCTTAGCTCTAGCTCTTTGAGTTCTTTAAAAGAAGATTTTTTAAGTTTTTACTATATGCATATAGGGAAAATCAATGACCCCCTGGGGCGGGGCCAATTTTGACCCCAGGGCTTTTATTTGGACAAACTTGGTAGACACCCATTAGAACATGTTTGATGCTAAATATCTTAGCTCTAGCTCTTTGAGTTCTTTAAAAGAAGATTTTTTAAGTTTTTACTATATGCATATAGGGAAAATCAATGACCCCCTGGGGCGGGGCCAATTTTGACCCCAGGGCTTTTATTTGGACAAACTTGGTAGACACCCATAAGAAGATGTTTCATGCTAAACATCTAAGCTCTAGCTCATTGGGCTTTTTAAAAGAAGATTTTTTTAAGTTTTTACTATACACATATAGTTAAAAACAAAAACACCCCTGGGGCGGGGCCAGTTTTGATCCCAGGGCTTTTATTTGAACAAACTTTGTAGACACTTACTAGAAGATGTTTCATGCTTAATATCTAAACTCTAGCTATTTGGGTTTTTACAAAGAAGATTTTAAGTTTTTGCTATACACATATAAGGAAAATCAATGACCCCCTGGGACGGGGCCAATTTTGACCCCAGGTCTTTTATTTGAACAATTTTTGAAGACACTCACTAGAAGATGTTTCATGCTCAATATCTAAACTCTAGCTATTTGGGTTTTTTCAAAGAAGATTTTTTAAGTTTTTGCTATACACATATAAAGAAAATCAATGACCCCCTGGGACGGGGCCAATTTTGACCCCAGGGCTTTTATTTGAACAAACTTGGTAGACACCTATTAGAAAATGTTTGATGCTAAATATCTTTGCTCTAGCTCTTTGAGTTCTTTAAAAGAAGATTTTTTAAGTTTTTACTATATGCATATAGGGAAAATCAATGACCCCCTGGGGCGGGGCCAATTTTGACCCCAGGGCTTTTATTTGAACAAACTTGGTAGACACTCATTAGAACATGTTTCATGCTAAATATCTTAGCTCTAGCTCTTTGGGTTCTTTAAAAGAAGATTTTTTAAGTTTTCACTATATGCATAAAGGGAAAATCAATGACCCCCTGGGGCGGGGCCAATTTTGACCCCAGGGCTTTTATTTGAACAAACTTGGTAGACACTCACTAGAAGATGTTTCATGCCAAATATCTAAGCTCTAGCTCTTAGGTTTTTTTTAAAGAAGATATTTAAAGTTTTTTCTTTCGATTGCCATGGCAACCAGAGTTCTGCATGGAATTAAATTCTTTGAACAAGTTTTAAAGGTGACCACCAAAGGAACATTCCTGTGAAGTTTAGATGAAATTGACCTAGTGGTTTATGAGGAGATGTCATTTAAAGTAAAAGTTTATGGATGACGGACAGACGGACGGACGACGGACGAAAAGCGATCACAAAAGCTCACCCTTTCACTTTGTGACAGGTGAGCTAACAAAAAATGGACAAATTAAAATTTCAAAGTTGAGACCAATTTTTGGTGAGATTTGTAACTATACTAGCAAAAATATCTTTTATATTAAATATATGAGTGCATATTAAATACTCAGACTTAAGCCAAAAGTTAAGAAAAAATATGTTTCATTGTCTAGAACTTCAATTAAACACAAGTCATTCTTAAGAGAAAGCAATAATTTGTTTAGTTTAAATGAAATTATTTTAGTTAGATTGTGTTGGAAGCTATAAGCTTATTGAAACGCTCTTGAATCCATTCCTGGAAACAACTACCCGGTAGTACTTAGAAATGAGTGTAAAATTTCTTGCTCACAAAAAAAATGGCTAGCCCATGACAGGTTTGAATCCAAATGACCAGCAATCTTTAGATTACTAGTCTGATGCATTAACCACCACCATTAGAAAGCAATAATTACAAAGATGTAAAACAAATTATTCAGAAAATTAACATGAGCTGTCAATAAGACAGCATGCTCAACTATTTTCAATGCTCGACAGTAAAAAAGTGGTAAAACTCTGTAAAAGGTAATTCAGTAGTTTTGAAGATAGCAACTAGCATGCAAAAACTAAACCAAAGTGTGACTGTGAGTATAATAGCTCTTCCTATTCTTTGAATTTTTTAGCTAAAGACAACTAGCTATTTCTTAAGTTATTCACATAAATGTGAAAATTCCACAGTAACAATGTTACACACTTGCTAGTTTCAGCCTCTCGTTTCTGTCTGTCCATCTCCTTCCTCCTCTCCTTGTCAGCCTCTAATTTCTCCAGTAATGTATCAGTCTGTGTGATATCCCAGTTCTGTATTAACTCTGCTATAGCAGGGACTGAACCTATCTTAACACAACCAAAAACATCAACTTAATAACTAAATACTTTCTTCCTTATACAATGTAGTAACATATTAGGCAGCTTGCTCTATCTAACATTTCTATGTAATTCTATTTTTTTAACTCAAATTTTCAATACAACTCTTTAGTTTGATCATGAAATACGGAAGAATAAATGTGATTTTTTGGCCAATCTTACGTAAACTTAAATACCTTGATATTGAAGTTATTGATATGAGAGAAGGCTTGTGTAGAAAGATGGTATTGGTGGCAAACAATCCTTCAACAGCTGTTATATAAGAACATGTATTTACCTGTTCAGGTGTCTGTCCATCAGAAGCATAGATTCTTGGATCACCACCATTTTGTAGCAGTATCTTTAACAGAAATTTTTAAATATTTTTTTGTCATCTCATCAGATATGTTTAATTAACAATTACATGTACTAAAATAGTTCTATATCAGAATCATTCTATCAAAGAAATTGAAATCAAACAAATTACTTCCAGTATTAAACAAACATAATCTTAAAATGAACGGCATCTGTCCCCACTCCCCAGCAAAAATAAAGAACCAGGCCATTGTTCATTTCCATGCATGATCAATAGGCTCTATATTGATGGCTGGCAAGCTGGAGAAGTTAAACAGGAAAAAGGTAAACTGCACTTATAATAGCCTAGTGAGTTAGAAAGTCCAGAATTTACAATAAATGACAATAAAAACATGTTTCAGGTTCAACAAGACATGGTAAATAGTTAGCACTAATTTACAATAAAATATAATGCTAGATCATAAACAAGAATATTTTACCTCACAAGCTTCAAGATGTCCAGCAAAGGCAGCCCTGTAAAGTGGAGTCCTCATAAACTGTCCTTTCTTATTAGGATCTGCTCCTCTCTCCAGCAAAAATTTGATAGCATCTGTGTGACCACCACCTGATTAGATTAAAACATAATTATGAGCCGCGTCACAACAAAACCAACATAGTACGTTTGCGACCAGCATGGATCCAGACCAGCCTGTGCATCCGCGCAGTCTGATCAGGATCCATGCTGTTCACTATCAGTTTCTCTACTTGTAATAGAGTTGGTAAGCGAACAGCATGGATCCTGATTAGACTGCGCGGCTGCGCAGGCTGGTCTGGATCAATGCTGGTCGAAAACGCACTATGTTGGTTTTGTCGTGACACGGCTCATATTCTGTTATAGAAGTTTAAATTTTCCAAAACACACATGAAACATATTCTGTCATTAATGTTTAAATTTTCCAAAACACACATGATACATATTCTGTCATTAATCTTTTAATTTTCCAAAACACACATGAAACATATTCTGTCATTAATGTTTAAATTTTCCAAAACACACATGATACATATTCTGTTATTAAATACAAAATTTTCCAAAACACACATTTAAATACAAAATTTTGCAAAAAACACAACTATCAAGAAAGAAAAGTATTTGATTAAGAAAGGAGCACAAGTACTCTAGAAATTGGAATAGTTTAACTGGTGAATATAATTTAAAATCCAATATAAGAAAAGCATGAATTGATAGAAATTAATCAAAATAGAATTTGGCAGAAGTATTTGAGCTGTGCCATGACAAAACAAACGTAATGCGTTTGCAACCATCATGGATCTAGACCAGCCTGCGCATCCGCGCATTCTGATCAGAATCCATGCTGTTCACTATCAGTTTCTCTACTTGTTACAGGGTTTGTAAGCGAACAGCACGGATCCTGATCAGACTGCGCAGATGTGCAGGCTGGTCTGGATCCATGCTGGTCGCAAACACGTTGGTCTTGTCATGGCACGGCTCATTTCAAGTTTTGAACATAGAAATACAGGAGAGTTATAACATCATACTTGCAGCTTCAGATATAGGTGTATTTTCATTGGCATCTTCACATTCTACAACATTCATGATATGTTTGGCTCGCAATGCCCGTCCAATGACATCATCTTTACCAACTCCATACTTGTCGTCTGCTGCGACTACCTTAACAATGTACATAAAATAATAACAGTTATAAGATTCATGACCAAAGTGAAATTAAACAAAGCTTCACTGCTGTGTAAATTCCACCATATAAACTGTTGTTGATCTTTTGTTAATTTTCGAGTATCTCCATTCATTACAAAAAGAAAAGAGAATCATATGAAAGGTCTTTTGTGGAGCAAATGAGAACCATAAAGTAATTCTATTAATTTATCTATACTACTCCTCAAGATAAATGAAACAACATGTAAACTTTTTGTCCTTACCTCTTTCAAAACAAGTGTCATTTCCTCAACATCGCCATCAAATGCAGCTTCTAGCATTCTTTTCATTCTTTGTTTTTCTTCTCTTTTTCTCTTTCTTTCTTCTTCTTCCTTCTGTCTTTGTTTTTCTGCTTTTTCTTGTTCCATTTGTACCAACTTTACAAAAGCCTAAAACATCAAGGAAAGTACTAAAAGTTTAGTTAAAAACTTGAAATACACTTCAATGAAATTCTAAAACAAGAACACTGCATGCAGTGTTAACGGTCTGTTTAAATGACCATTTTTGATAAAATTGAAAGTAAAAAGGTGCATTACTGCAAGAATATAGTTTTCAAGCATTCCAAGTTTCATATTGAAACATTTGAAACTGTTTGAGTTATGGGCTACAATAGAGATCTTGCATGATAACAAGAACACCATAGCAATCATAACAACTTGAATACATATGTATATTTGTGTCATAATTACTATGAAAATCATTGATACATGTACATATAAACCAACAAATAATTTATACCTCTCTTCAATATACCACGCAGATAATATTTCTGCAAATATATTTACCTCAAACATGTTTGGCAACCCATGCAAGAGAGGTAACTACAAAAACAAGCCAGAAATGCCTCATATCTGTATAACTGAACTACAGCAAGAATAAAATCTTAAATTTACTTTGATTATTCAGTGCAAGAAAAAGGGTCAAATTAAGAAAAAAAGGGTTTTAATCTTGACAAAATAAAATTATGTTATTTAGATATTTTTCATTCCTAAATTAATGTTTTCTTCCAGTTAACAATTTTGAATAAAGTCCATTAGAAGAAAACAATAGCAAAAATAATCATATTAACCTCTTTTTCTAACTTATCCATCAAATCATTGTAGTCTTCTTTCTCTTTTTTCTTTTTCTCAAGAGCCTTCTTTGCCCTGTACTGTCTGAATTTTGTCTGTATCTTTCTAGCAGCATCATCCTTTTCTGTCCATACTTTTTCCTTGGGTTTTTCTGGTGCTTTCTTTGCTCCTAAAAATGAATGACAATTTCTTCCAATTATATCTACTAAATGTTATATGGCATCTATCTACTGGTTATACGGCAATCTACAAATTACTAAAGCAGAATATGAACATAAATGGGATCATCTGATATATTCAATATTTGTTGTTTTATGTCATTTATATTATTAAAGTCAAATCCCTATCTCGATTTACTTATATCAAACTATTTAACTTGGTCGAATCATATTACAAACATTTGCAAAAAGGCCAACTCTACACTTGGTTTCCTTGGATGGAACTTAAAGCACTGTCCTCTTGAATGTCGTAAATCAGCTTTCATAGCACTAGTGAGACCTCCACTAGAATATGGTTCTATTATTTGAGACCCGTATCTCGAAAAGGATATTGAAAAAATTGAACTGTGTTTCGGACTATTACTGCATTTCTACCACTGTTCAGAACATTGAATGAAAAAATCTAATGAAAGTTTTGTTCATCCATTGATAAATTAATGCCCAAAATAAAGTTACAGGTAATTATTCTGTCAAAAATATATTTCCTGCCTGACCAAGCTTGACCTTTCATTGTCAAATGCAGTAACAGTCTGAAACAGAGTGTTTACAGAGTTTCTTATGATAGCTACAGAAATCAACTGTTAGCAAACCGACGCATGCGCACAACTTAATGACACAGTCACCTCTTGTTAGGTGGGAAACACTGAAAGTGTCTCTGAAAAATCCCAAGGTTGTTACCCAGGATCAAACCAGGGACCTCAGGAGTGACAGCCGTGGTCTAACCAACTGAGCTATTGTGCCCTCTTCAAATGCAACTGCAATTGATAGTACTGTCTATGAACAGGCTCAATCAAACCAAGCATGCAACATTTTCAATTTTTCCCTAAAAATTGGACCTTCTGCAACTTCAAATGGGTTACTCGACAATATCCACAAGGTAGACATCAACGTCGAGGGGGATTCTTTTTTTGTCCATTTTATTGCAAGTTGTAACAAACAATGTCAACAATGCCTTCTTGTTATCTTAGCCTCAGTATCATGAGTAATCATTCAAATATTTAATTATTGCTACACAGTAGCCTACATGTATATTGTAAAGCCCTTTATTCTATATATTTGAATGCTGACAGGTGTTGGCACAATGAATTAGAGCATAAAAAAGTTATTTAACCTATTTTGTTTTATACTTTGCATATTGTGGTGAGGTATGGTAGTGTAACCGTAATCCGGAACATACCGTTCCCGGAAGGTACGAGATTTAGTCCGGGCAAGACGAGAACGATTCCTAGCCGCCATCTTGTAAGAAGGTAATTAGAACGGCAAGATAAATCCGAAGAATCTGAGAGATATAAATGGTCATCCGTACAGGGAAAGTGTTTCAAGGTAAGCAGAACACTTTAATGGTGGCAGCTACTATTCGAATTCACGTCAACTTCGTAGGAATTCTACGCAATCCGGAGGTAAACCAGCGATTTTCTCAACCATAAAAACTTTGGTTTTTTCAAATATTGAAATCTAAGTATTCCAATATTTGGGAGGGGAAAAGGGACTGTTTGGTTTGGATTGAACAAGCACTGTACGTTTAGATGATTTAATGTGGAAATTTGCTAAAATTGAGTATTTAGAGTACTCTTTTGGTAAGTTTAGAAACTTCGGATATTCGGACTTACGACGCATGCGTATTGGAAAGCTAAGCTTCCGCCCTGGATCAGTTTCGCACGTGAAAACTGTGCCAGTTCAGCATTATATTGTAAGCTAAGTCAAAAACTGTTCAAATAACAACTTTTATTGATAAAAAGTTTAATTCCACAATTTCTTTATTCAACTCTGAAAAGCACTAAATTTGTCAGATTCAACAATAGAAGTTTCCATGAAAATATTACAAAATGCTCTTGTCATTAGTTTTCGCGACTGTCAGGATTTAAAGCAAAATGCCAACTGAAAACAGCCTGTCATGGCTACTTATATAGACTCTGAAATGGCCAGGACTGTCACAATTGACCAATCATAACTTTCCATTTGGCCTGGCAGTCTGGCAGGAAAGACAGGAACTTCTTAAAATGGCAGCCATATTGACAGGAATAATTTAGAAAAATGTAAATTAACAAAGTTAACTAATAACAAAATATGCAATAAACACTTGAATTACATGCTTAACTTGATGCACTTAAGATCTGGACCAAAAACAATCATGGTTATAGCTTAGAAAAATGAACTATTGATATAAAAAGATTCCAAGTGCCAGGAGTTTGAATTTTCCCTCCTGACAAACTTAGAGGTCATACTGGTCATCAACATTATTATGAAATACAGCAATGCCAGCTAACTATTTGGAAAGTAACTTAGGTCTTAGGTAAATAAGGATTACATTCTTTGTTCTTACATGTAAAATGATAAGTTTTTGTATATGTTTATGAAAATAAATGCATTTAAAGTTTTGAATCAAGGTAGACAACTCTAATCGGCCATTTTGATGCCAGGATAAACAAAGTAAGTAAATAAATCATTTCTTGAAGTATAAACCTCCTTATAGTGCCTTATATAGTCCTAGAGCCTCAGAATGTCCTATATCATGGTCTTAATTCCTTCATTTATCAGGAAATTATCTAAACAAATAAAATCAGCAAATATGAATGGCTCAGGCAAGTTCAGGAATCCTGGCAGGTAAGTTTTAAGCATTGACTGAACACTATTACCTCATTTGTCAATAAATTATGCTAGTTTGATGTTCAAATTGTCATAAAACATAGTTTTGTTTTAAACTGATATATTCATTACAAGGTCCTAAAAGTAATTAAGTTGATAAACATTCACAGTCCCTTACACTCTCCCCCTCTTAAAAGAAATTAAATACTTTTTAAATGTTTTCTGTCTGTTTTTCTATTTTCTTCTTCTGTATGGTTGATTCTCTCTGTCACATTTTTTACGTTAGGACACCACTAATGGAAACATCTTTGTTGTCAATAGCATGGATACTATGTCAGCATCATTTCCTTATTAAATGAATATCCTGCAGGCTTTAAAGTGTAGAAAAAGTCATTTCATTCTTACAGTTTTGTTTGGATGTTAAATTAAAGAAAGTAGTAGTTGTCAGATGTAGGTACCTGAACATCTCCTTAACAAGATTTATCTGCATTATTTCTCCAATGTCTGTCACAAATTTGTCTAGTAATTCATATAAGCATTCACTCATTGTTAGTTTTAATTTCTTAAAATTTTTACTTGATTCCAAAGGTATCCTTATTATTATGTTTGATAAAGTGTATTGTTCACAGCATTACAGCAAATTGAGATAACCATTTCCGCTGATAATACTAATTATCATTTCCAAGTACAGTTCCAAAAGACCTAAGAGATAGATACTGAAACCACTTACCAGGAATTCACTCCTAACCATTGCCTGTCAATGGTTTTGAATTCCAATGGTTAAAGCGATGCAATGTATAATTGCAAAAAGGTTCGCAAATAACCATAATCCACATAGTGAAACATGGTTGATCAGGCCATTTCCAACTATGAATTTCAACAACACCACACAGAGCTCTGTGATTCACTTCCAAAATTTTACATTGATTAATCTTGTCATTTCAGTATCAATCCCATTGAACCATTGTACATGTATACAGTAATTATGTATTACAGCTAATTCCCATCTTTGCTTTACTTTACCCTGTTTCAATTTCATAGAACCATAGTTTATTAATTACCATTGTTTTTGTATTTAAGCTGAATGAATTACTGTTCATGTCTTTCTGATGCTCTACTTTGTATTATTCCTATTGAACCATTGTATCAAAACATAATTAATCACTATTATTGAATATTAATGTCTTTCTGGAGCTTCTGGTGCTTTTATTTAACAGTCATAACTTATAACAAATCAACAGTTAACTTCAAATGTAACCAATAATAACTTTTAACAATTTTAGCATAAACAGCTATGTCCTTAAGTATGTTTTAGCTTTGTTATCCAAGTTGGGACTGTGGTAGATTTTTGATACATCCCTAGGTGATTTGCCTTCAAAAGACTGTTGTTTAATGTAAACAGGTATTCCAAAATATCTCAGGCTTTGGGCTGGATATTGACGTTTATTATCATTTCTGTCACCGCCTCTATCTAATTCACTATCTGCAATTTGTTTTATTATTCTTATTTGTCTCATATCAGCATTTGGAGTTGATTTGTTGTCTTCTTCTGTACTTGCAAACATTATTTGAATTGCAGAATCTGACATTTTTTGTTTTGTTCCTTACTGTTAATTTACTTTTGCGTAGTTTTATTCCTTTTTGGTATTAAATGATATCATTCAAGTTCAAGGTCACTTCCAGTAAAAATGTAAACAGTTCTTTTAATCCACTGATTCTGACACCAATTGTAAGCTAAGTTAAAAACTGTTCAAATAACAACTTTTATTGATAAAAAGTTTAATTCCACAATTTCTTTATTCAACTCTGAAGAGCACTAAATTTGTCAGATTCAACAATAGAAGTTTCCATGAAAATATTACAAAATGCTCTTGTCACTAGTTTTCGCGACTGTCAGGATTTAAAGCCAAAATGCAAACTGAACACAGCCTGTCATGGCTACTTATATAGACTCTGAAATGGCCAGGACTGTCACAATTGACCAATCATAACATTCCATTTGGCCTGGCAGTCTGGCAGGAAAGACAGGAATTTCTTAAAATGGCAGCCATATTGACAGGAATAATTTAGAAAAATGTAAATTAACAAAGTTAACTAATAACAAAATATGCAATAAACACTTGAATTACATGCTTAACTTGATGCACTTAAGATCTGGACCAAAAACAATCATGGTTATAGCTTAGAAAAATGAACTATTGATATAAAAAGATTCCAAGTGCCAGGAGTTTGAATTTTCCCTCCTGACAAACTTAGAGGTCAAACTGGTCATCAACATTATTATGAAATACAGCAATGCCAGCTAGCTATTTGGAAAGTAACTTAGGTCTTAGGTAAATAAGGATTACATTCTTTGTTCTTACAT